TCACTGTCGGGCTTTAATCCTCTCTCCTTTACACTATAAAATAGTTTCATTGGAGCATAGCAGCTAAAAAGCTCCCTAAAAGCTCCAGTAAACAAAGAAAACAACACTTGTTTGTTGCAGTTTTGTGGTAAACACACCCACCCACTCATAGTTCAATGACCTTACAAATAAAAGGCTATAGAAATCGGTTGTTTGGGGTCAACCCCTTTTTTCTTTAAGGTATAGACCAGTTTTGGAAACGCCCCCCTCTCAAATGGAAGCTCTTATTACCAATCATGTGAAAGAATATGTTTTGACTAATACGTGATGATACAAATTTTGCCAGAAAACTGCTTACTTCCGATATTAAATTATCATATCGATCCGGTCTGGATAGATATCGCGAATGCACTTCAACATCGAACATTTGGGCATATATTTCAGCATTTTTGCAAATTTAGGTTGAACTATTGCCATCTAAACCTCTAAAGGCAATATTTAAACAATATTGGTTGGATATTTTGCACCCAAAACCCTTGAACCGCAATTTTACCACTACCGGTCTTTTAAGCATTACCTTTAAGCATTACCGGTAAATAAAACAGGTGTAAGTTATGAATAAAACATCAATGCACTGGACAAGAACAAACAAAAGCAAACAGCAACTAGACCTACATGTATGATCAACCGATACACAAGCATTATCACAAAATTAATTTTTAATGCAAAGGTTATGGTAAAAAAAGAGTACTGGTATGCACCTGTAGCATAAAGAAGCCAATATTCATGATATGTGCGATCATCTATGCATGAACATCACAGTGGACACTAAGGCTGTGACGGGTAGTCGAATGCTCGAGTACCCGCACGGTTGACAACTACTCGAATATTCGGCCGCAAAAAAAAAACAAAAAAACAAAAAAACTGTCCAGGCCCACGCTTACCCGTGCCAGGGAGAGCGGCGGCCGCTGGCATGGTACCGTCGGTAAAAATGTTTCACAACTCAGGCACTGCCAAACTCACCACTCAGAAACTGTGACCAAATGTCCGGATTTCTGTTTGGACTCGGAGGTAAAGTCATCTTTGGTTTTTAAAACAGCATTGTTTACTGTTATTATTATTATTATTATTAAATCGGCGCCTTCAACTGCAACTCAAAGTAAAATTGCATGCGTTTTCAGTGATACTGGGATACGGCACCAGTTGTTGTTGTTGTGTTTTGAGTTATTGGCGATTAGTCAGTGATTTGACTATTGTCGCCAAATTACTTTACGGCACGTGTTATATCTCTCAATTTTGGATTTAAAAAAAAAAAAATATATATTTATTTCGTTTTATATTTATCTATCTTTTAAGATAGTATCGTAAAATAATATCGTAAGCAAAACATTCATGGGCTTTGTTAGTGTTTCTTAACAGTACGTGCAGATTATTTGTTATATCACATACACCATACATAAATATGTATATAAGATAGCACCTACACAAGCTTCTATATTCAGTAATCTTATCATACCTTTTATCATTGTTGTTACTTTTTCTTATTTTATTTTCTTAATACATTATGTTATTATATTTTTAATGTACTGAGTGTAATTTAACATATTTATAATATCGTATTATGTTTTACTGTTCTTATTTTATTTTCTTATTACATTATGATTGTTATTATATTTTTAATGTACTGAGTGTAATTTAGCATATTATAATATTGTATAATGTTTTACTATTCTTATTTTATTTTCTTATTACATTATGTTATTATATTTTTAATGTACTAAGTGTAATTTAACATATTTATAATATTGTATTATGTTTTACTGTTCTTATTTTATTTTCTTATTATATTATGTTATTATATTTTTAATGTACTGAGTGTAATTTAGCATATTTATAATATTGTATTATATTTTACTGTTCATCAAGGGAGGTATTACTTCCTGATAGGGAACCGTTTCGTTCTGAGAAAGAACCGGTACATGTACCAGTGGTACATGTATGGTGGTGACAAAAAAAGAAGAAAAAATAAATTAAAAAATCAAATAAAAAAAAAATAAAAATAAATAAAAATAAAAAATATGGCGTCCGAATATTTTGAGTATTCGCTTGTAAGCCTGGGAGTGTACTCGAATACCTCATTACACTGTTCTGCACAGCCTTAGTGGACACAGGCAATGGTATTAAGTTCCTGCATGGGCAAACTAAGGCTTTTGTTTCACTACGCTATACATGCAGTCATGTTATGTAATGCTGTAAATTCAAATGAAACTATTACAAACAAATTAAAATGCAGCAACTTAAAAAAAAAAACTTTCACTTTGTACAATACACAGGTGCACTGCATCTAAAAGCATCTACATGTACATGTACTGAGGGCCAAAAACAGTGTATCCATTGTTAAGCTGGTATTTGAATAAAATTAATCTCACCACAGCAGCTTTCAATAGGTTGACAAATAGACACTCTCCCTGTCTCCCGTAATGAATAGGTGTTTTGTATACATGTATGCCGAGACAGAGTGCTCTCTTACCATCTGATCTGGGTGGTGTTTCACAAAGATCCTAAGTTGGACTTACCAATTATGGAAAGCCGTTAGCATCTATGAAATATTTTGTAAAAGTTATTTTAAAAGGCATTAAATGTTGATTCAAATCATTCATATTCTCTATTATCATGGAGATTTCATGTTCTTGATGTGGAATTTATGAAAAGTCTAAAATACTTGAGGTTTTGCTTTTGAATATATTTTATTCTAAGGCTACGAATGGCTCTCCATAATTTGTAAGTCCAACTTAGAGTTAAGTTCAACTTAGGATCTTTGTGAAACACCCCCCTGGACAATAATAGTTGGGTTCACACTTCACAGGACAGGACAGTCCATTAATTTTAACTTTAGATCGTAATCTTAGACTTCAAAGTTATCTTGTAGTACCGTAAAGGACCATACGGACACACTTGACCGACTTGACCATCCCAGTATAGCTTCCTGAGTGAGCAGCCAAAGGGATTACCCCACCAAGTACCAGGGTACAAAACTTTAATTTAAATTGGAGTGATAAACCAGAAGCGATCTTAAGGTTAGCATGATAACTACAAGCATTGGGGTACTCACTTATTACGTGCCGTGCAGATGCAATTAACTTTGAGGCTTGTAGTGAAAATGAATGCTTGCCTGGCTTGTTGCTAACACTTTGAATACTAAGTTGTTGTTTTGGTCCTGTGTGAAACCTCTATGTTCTTCCACATTATGTAGCTAATACTATTAACATTTAACTGCAAACTACAACTAGGCTTTAAAAGCTGTGTCATTCACATCCAATAATATATATCTAGAGCTTAATTTTGGTTACAGGTGTATTGTGTTTATTATGGAAATGAAAAAAAGCATACTTAAGCATTAGAAAATGTACAAAGAAGGGTCACTAAATTTGTCCCTGAGAATAAGATTCTTCTATATGATATGAGCAAAGGTTAACCTACAAATGTAGGCTTTAGACTCCAGACACTTACAGTATTGTTGTGCACGAGGAAATATGATAGAAACACACAAATTATAGTGCCAGACTTTAAATAGGCCAGGTGCATGGGCCAACCAGAGGATACAGTAATTAGTAAAAAGCTGTATGTAGTCTAAGGTTTATCACTGAGAAATGTAAACACTCCTTTTACATATGAATAAGGAAACAAGATCTAGTTAATGCAGCCAGCTAGTGTCTACAGTTTTGAAAATAGTCTGGACAAGTACTGGAGAAGTGACTTTGCCAAGTTTGACCCACCCGGTCATGATCCGGCAAACTGAACAATAAGAAAGAATTTAGAACTGAAAATAGAGGCTTAAGAAGAATCCATATAAGTATGACTGTATCCATAAGTATCAGTAAAGAAATATCCATGTAGAATATAGAGCATCAATAGAAAATAAATGGAAAATTTGTACTTCTATGTGAACTTAATTAAATTCTCAACATAGAATATATTATCATGCGAACACTCATGAAAGTGTTGTTCTTTAAATATTAAATACCGCTCATTAACATAATGAGCCATGATGGAATATAGTATACTGCCGTATTACGATATTAATCATATTAACCAAAAAACAAGGGGGAGCCAGATGATGTAGACTAGATCTACATGAGAATGTGATTCTTTTCGAATTCAAACAATTGAACATGAAACTGAAATATTATTTTGTCCCCAGTCAGTGCAAGCCACTCAACAGCATTGTATGCATCACATTATAACCTTACTCCTTAGGCCTATTTACTTTCTTTTCTAATGTTTTCTTCTCTGTTACTGTTAGCTGCCCTACCCACCTCCTCTTCCTACCTATGGAGTATGGATTTCTTCCACTCTCTCAGAGTCTCAGTCTCGCTCTCTCATGTCTCTTTGCATCCTCGTCAACAACAACTCACCACGTAAATCTGATTATCATTTCATTTGCCCTAAATCTTATTCATTTAGCCTACAGTGTACATGTGTAAAGGAATATAAATTGTATAGTCATATACTAGCTCCTTAAAGGGCAATCCAACCTTTGTATTTTATAAGTTTGTTTGAAAGCAGAAAAATAAAGAAAAACAGAATCGCGAAAGTTTTAAATAAATCGGACCAATGAATAATTAAATAGGAAAAATTCGAGGGTTTGAAATATGAGATCAGTAAGTTATGCCTTGCTTCAATAAATCTCACTCCTGGAGGAGAGCGTAAAAAGACAAAATCCTTTTTTTTTAAATACTCCTCCAAGCAAGCTATTTTTTCTGTCTGAGCTTGAGCCAGAGCCCGAGCGCGAGCCCGAGCTGAGCCCGAGGCTGAGGCGCGAGGCCGGAGAGGCTGCGGTATTCATCTTGATCCAAATCGAAGTTAAAACACACAAGAATATAATCACGCGGGACTGACATATCTATCTACCGCAATCGCAGAAGTCAAACTCGTGTGTCGAAACTCATCTATCCCTCACCTTTTTCGATATAAAAATTACATGAGATAATAAAATATGTATTTCTCGCTACAACACTTACCAACATCAAGTTTGAAATGTCGAATTTATCACTGTAGTGTAGCAGAATACCCGGCGGAACATAGGATTGCACCCCACCGACGGCCGACTTGACGATAATTGATTGTGTATATTTTGAAAGCGGTATAGGTGTAGGCTATGCAATGCGTAATATAAGAATGGAATCATACATACCGTACCAGTTTACTTGGTGGTGGTGGTTATTTTACCTGACTGCTAAGACATTTACCTTTACCGCAAATACTGGAAGTACATACATAAAGACGAGTATTCGGTATATTATGTGCGCAGGATTTGTTTTTCTTTTGGAAAAGAAAGAAAGAAAGAAAGAATAACAGAAGATTAATACTATAGTATTATCATTTTGTTATATTAGGCCTATATATATCAAAATTATAACATTCAAATATATAATATATAACATTCAAATATATAATATATAACATTCAAATATATAATATATAACATTCAAATATATAATATATAACATTCAAATATATAATATATAACATTCAAATATATAATATATGTAGGCTTTCGGTCTCGTGGGCTCTAGCCCAATGCCCTTACTTTATTTTACTTTCCTGCCGCTGGAGATCACAAGGTTTGATAAAAAGTTATGTCTAAAAATAATACTCTAGACCTACTCTGATTTTTAAGATACTTGTCACTCAGAAAAGGGTGATTAGAATTGTTTTTGATGTACCTTATCGTGCTAATACTAATGTTGTGATTCATCAAGGTTGCTTTGAATAAATTAGCTTATACTGGTCCTAAGTTTTGGAACTGCACTTCTTATTGATGTAACTTGTTTTGTCAGTGTCTCTGTTTTTATTGACGCAACCTGAAATTACATTTATTGAGTAATTATGCTGAAAATATTTTTAATGTATAAACGACGTCATCACATAATGATAGTATGTAATTACACATTCCTTGCCTCACTGTCAACCCCTCCCCCCCCCCCCGGCCCCCCCCCCCCCTCCCCTAGGCCCCCTCTTTTCCAGACTGGCCCTTAACTTACCACATTTCTTCATTTATTAGCAAACTCGCTCGTTCTGTTTTGCTCTATTGTAAGTTTTCTTTTCTTTTTCTCTTCTATTTCTTCCCCATCACCATTCCCCCTGCATATATATTTCTTCCTTCTCAACTCTTCTCTGTGATTTTTTTTCCCATTCTGCGCCTTCGCTCGAGTCCATCCTTTTGTATATCTTCCCGTTTTCTCCTTTTCATATATACAGTGCGACCCAGAGAAAACGAAACGGAGAATTATTGATGTTTTATCATAACTTAATCACAATTATAATTAATAAATTACATATTTGTAAGGCTTAGATCCTCCTCTTTCATTTGATGTAACTCATATGATGCATATTTCACGCATGAGGGATTAAAAGCAATTTGGAGGAAGGAAACCAAAAAGTCATTTGGCGGGCGGTGTCTGAATTTTGAAGAAAAATTCACATTTCTAGAAATTTCATTTTCTGCTCTTTCATATTATGACACCTCAATCAAGAAAAATTAGCCAGGAATAACAAAGTTCTGTTTAGAAATAATTAGAAATAAACAACGTTTGAATTTGATTTAGGGGCATCTGCCCCCCCCCCCCCCCCCATCAGTACGCCAGTGTTCAGGGGCTCATTTCTTCTCACCCCTATAATAAAAAACACACACGCTTTGCCATCCTCTAACAATATTTTCCACGATATGCGCGTACCGATAATATCAATTTTCCATTGATAAATAGGGGCATGCGGAATATTTAGGAAATTTTTTCCTACTCACTCTCCTCTTTCTTTGAATGGAATATAATTGTTGTTGTGATTCAATTCAGGTTTTATTTAAAAAAAAAAATTAAAAAAAAAAATTATTCCTTTACAGCTGATTTTTTTTCTCCTGGGAAGGAGGCTTTTTAGGGGCGAAAATGTCCCCCCCCCCCCATTTTTTCGTTTGGGGGTGACTGCCCCCCCCCCCCCCCCCACTTCCAGAGCATATAACAAAAAACCGTTTAGTAGTCCAGAGAAACTTTTGTTCAAAAAGTGTGATCACACCATAGAGATAATAGCTCTATATGGATCACACACAACTAGAAGCTGAAGCGAAGAGTGCTTGTTTTTTTATGTTCTTGTTTTCAATTCAATTGTAAATATATCAGTTTCTTGGTTGTGTCATTTCAGGCCGTAAACAAGAATAATCCAGCTGACGTATGCGCCTGAATTAATAGTGGACGAAAGGGGAGTAAGGGGGGGGGGGGGGTATGGCCTCCTGTGTCCCCACCACGCTGCTCCTAATTTTAAGCTCATCTCGTGACTTTTTTTTTTACTGTTAATATTTTGACACGAGCGCCATCTATCATCCTCCGACAGACAATTAGCAAAACACACTGATCCAGCTTCGAACTAACTTCGTATTTTGTCTTTGTGGATTATTCTCTGGCTGTTGACTATCAAAATGTACGAACCCAGTCAGGCTCAAGAAAATGGGAGTCACAGTGAACAGGATTTTAACGAAAGATTAGGACCTATCGTGGAAGGCACACACGTGAGTAAAGTAACATCGGTTGTAATCTTTGATTTGTTGTCAGTTGCCTGCGCCACAGTACAGCCCCATATACCGACATTTATGGAGTGATATTGATAAAGAAAACAAAGACTTCAATTAAATTGTATTTCCATTTAAATTTAGATCTAAGACCTAGTCTACCTTTATTCCGAGGGGGGGGGGGGTACTCAGATTTGGTTTGGACGGGGGTGTGCCGCTCAAGCCTCGAAACCCCCACCCATTTTTAAGGGTCATTTGTCCTTTTGGGGAATTTTTTGGGGAAAGTAAAGCCCATTTTTCACAATTTTTGGATGTTTGCCAAATTTGGAAATTTTGAAAATTTTGAAAAATGAGACCCATGTTAAGATTTTTTGTGAAAAAGTGACCCATTCGAGCGGCACACCCAGTAGATCTATGTCTTATTATAAGTGAGTACCCCCCCCCCCCTCCCCTTGGGCCTTTTTGGCGCTAGTGTCCTCGTATCCAGACTTTGACCTGTAACTCCGGCGTGGAGATACCATCATCATCATCATCGATATACAGGAGTGAGGTAGTCCTGTAGGTCATCTTCCAAGATATAAGTTTAATTGTCAGTTTGCGACTAAATCTTTATCAATTGTTCAAGTTATGGTCATGATTAAAAAGTTGTTAGTGTCTTACCCATTTCATGTCAATTTTCTTATCTTTTTTGGAATATTTTTCCTAAAAACAAAGACATTATAACACTTTCTCACAGGTTTCACATCAAACCGCCCGCAAAATAATATTGCATATTGTATCTAGCCTACCGACGGTGGGGTGTGGGGCCGGGCGCACGCACGTATGTGAAGTTAGCGACTGTTATCTCAGATCCTCATAAAATTCACAAGTAATTCATTATTACGATTGATAACTTCACACACGCTTTTATATATTAGCGCTTTGATAATACAATGTCTCCATAGATGAATATGTGTGTACGATGTATGTAATATTTGTTGGTCATAATTGACCAAAATGCAATTTTTAGCACTACATTGCAACACGAGATCGTGTCGTGTAGGATCTTGTGATTTCCCAGTCTAGAATAGGGTTTACAAGTCAACATGTAGTCAAAATCTGTGTAAAATGAATGAAGGATTCATCTATCAAAGCATGCATGCATGCACAATCTGTAAACTTTGGGGTAACAAATTCTATTGTTATTTATATTATTGTTTAATTAATTCTTTTGCTATTTAAACAGCTTTCCTACATTGAGCATGCATGTGTGAAGATTCCAGAGGAGCTTGGCACATGGTACGGGTCAAAGGTCACAAGGGTGGACCTCAGCTTCAACCAGATCACGTAAGCTACCAGCATGTTCTCAGCCCAACATGCAAGAAAGTTGTTGGAAATTCGCTATTTTAAAGCTATACTTTTCCATTGTAAATGCTGTTTAAAATAATCACATTTAAAGAAGAAAGGATCTTTGCCAGAAATTTGATAAATCTAATGATTCCTTTTTTCCATAGTAGACAAATAAATTCTGGATAATTTTTAAATCAGATCAAATCTAGTTATATATTTTATTTAAATATTGCAGATCAATAGGCAGGAATAAAATTAATCTTTTAGAATACCTAAACTTATTCTTTGGGGTGAGGTACAAACCATGTATTACACGTACATGTATTTATGATATGGAGGTGTTGTGGTATAGTGGTTCATTCGTTGACTTCCAATTCAAAGGTTGTGGTTTTGACTCCAAGACTTGCACTGATGTCCTTTGGCAAGGCATTAATCCACATTTGCCACCCTCCACCCAGTTGTAAATGAGTTCCTGGTAACAGCTGGGGAAATAATAACTGCAGGGCCTTCAAGAAGAACAGCATTGATGCTGGTTAACTTAAAGGGAAATCCAACCTAAATAGACAACTACTCTAAAAGAAAGCAGAAAAATAAGAGAAGCAAACTGATGTTCTGGGGTGAAGGTTTGGCATAAATGAATTAGAATTTTCAATAAATGAATAGTAAATGAATGAGTTACAATTGTTTCCCAATTATATATTTTTCACTAAATGTAATTTTTACCTTCCTGGCTATGAATTTCCCTCATTGAAAAGTAAAGGTTTTGTTATTGAATTAAAAAGTCTTTCCACTTAAACTTTGGTGCCTGATACATGTACAACTCCAACTGGAACGTCACATTTTCAAGAAAATGGCTGTGCCCATGTCGTGCTAAAAGGCATAACATCAAGCCAAGAAATCTTCATTTATATATCTCTTGTACACGTTCGTACACGTTCGTACATCAAAAGGCAGGAATTCATCTCGCTTAACAGAATATCTACGCTTATTCTTTGGGGTTAGTTCCTCTTTAATACTTTCCTGTTTAAACAATATTATTATTATTATGTTTTGTTATAATCTTGACAGAACTTTGAAGGGTTTGGAGAGATTCCCTCAGCTTGAAGAGCTGGTGATGGACAACAACGCTCTTGATGATTCTCTTCACGTTCCTCTCATGCCCCATCTTCATACACTGCACATGAACAAAAACACAATATCCTTTACAATAACAATCAGGTAGTAGTAGTTAGAAGTAGCTGTCTGCCGCGAAGCGACAATGACCGCCTTCACTTCTAAATAATACAATCATAAAAGCTGCTTCCAAAGGTGGGTAAGTACCGGTAGCTCTTGCAAGTTAATTACAGCACTCTCTTGTTATAACAATCAGGTTATAGGGTAGTAAAGGACTAATGTAATTTGGCAAGAAATTGATCTACATTTGCCACTCTCCACCCAAGAGTAGTAAATGGGTACCTGGTCGGAATAATGTTGTTGAATGCTTGAGCACCTTATAATTGTAGCTCTGCTAAAGTGAGGGTGATAATATGATTGCAGGGCCCCCAGGGAGAATATTATTAATACTGATGAGGCTATCATTATTATTGTTGTTGTTGTTGTACCGGTAGTTGTTTTTTGCATTATTATTTTTGTTGTTAGTATTGAAATATTTGATTAATACGTAGGAAATGGCATTGTTGATATCCTACCTTACTCAATCATCATTCTTTGTAGATGTTGTTTTATATACCTGCCATGCATAAAATCATTATGTGCGCTTTGTAAAGATCCATCAACATATATGTACATGTTATAAACATGCTACACTGTATAAACATGCGATATACATGTATGTACATATGTGTAAATAAACATGCTATAAACATGAACTGGGGCAAATTTTAAATTGTCCAGGCGACTTTCTAGCTTTTTATGGATTAGCTGTAATAAAAGTCAGATTTCTTCCTGACACACTGGTATAAGGTTTTTGTTTCATTTTTACCATTGAAATCAGGGTTTAAAAATAATTTAAATTCATCTCATTACTTTTGTTTTTGTACCTCAGAAGTTGTCTATATTCAAGAAAATTATTATTATTTACTGTAATTTTTTCCAATAAAAAAATAAATCTTTCAGTTCTGTCACTTCATGCTTTATTTAAAAACAAACACATAAACCATCATATATGATTTTTAAATCATGTACCATGTCATAATGAAACCACAGCTAGAAGCTATGTGAGAATAGTTGTTATTGATTAAATTTTCTTCCTCTTGAACCCCTTACATGAAAAATTATGATAAATTTGTCTTGAGAACCTATTTTAGATACCAACCCTTAGATAATAAAAGTGAAAGCTGTATTGATCAGTCTCTCATCATGAAGTGTAATTGCTTCATATAAAAATTGTAAATCTTGTGACATCGTTTCTGTTTCACCTTTTACCCCTTTGAAAAACAGCTTATAGCTGACAAGGGCAATCCATCCCATGAGTGGAGAATAAATAAATAAAAATTTTAAAAAAAATTATAGATTATGTCGTCATAATGAGCAAGCATAGTCTTTTATCAAGTGTAGTTGCCTTCATGCCTACATTAGATGATCTCTCTTATTTTTTTTAATTACATTGACCTAGTCTGCTGGCACAGACTTTAATTTGTTCCTCAAATACAATTCCATAAAGTCTTGAGCAGAGCCAACATACTAACTTGGCGTAAATATTCATAAATGAATGATACACGCCAATAAAAACTAAAACAAAAACAACAACTCCGATGTGAGTTGGTATATCAAAAATTGTTCTTTGATGCAATGATCATAGAGGTGTCGTTGTTAAGTGGATATGTCACCAAACTGTGGATCATAAGGTCCACGGTTCAAGTCCCACCGAGGCACTAATGTCCTTTGACAAAGCGTTAATGCTGATAACGGCTGCCAGGGCTAAAGCTACAGTAATAATTTACAAAGCTCTTTGGAAGCGAATAGGGACGTTCTATACAAGAACTGAATATTATTATCATTTATTATATCTAATTGATGCAAATGTATTTCACTCCTACCCTTTAGTGTACAAGTCAGTCTTGGGTATTTTTGACTCTTTAATCATGTCTTCTGATTATTAAAGAAAGCTTTGTGCCTGTACAGCTACCCACAACATCATATTCATGTAATAAAAAAAGACCTTAACTTGGCATACATATCAGATATCAACATTCTAGTGGAGAAACTTCAGATGTCAGTTCCCTCTCTCACATTCCTCAGTCTCCTTGGTAACGAAGCTTGCCCTAATGAGCTCTCGAGCTCGGAGAAAGATGAAGAAGACTATCAAAGATACAGGTATTTATGTCATTCCTCTTCTCTGTTTGGCAACCATTGTGTATTTACCGCATTATTCCCTCAGCTGATTGGCATGTTTCTAAAAATTAGCCACAGCATAATGTGATGTCTAATAAAGCATGGTTAAAATCTACTGTAGTTCTCGACATGTTATTATCTTTTTATTCAAACCGTCATGTGATATCTTATAAAGCAATATAGTAAAAAATACTACTGTGATTCACAGCATGTTATTATTTTCTTTAACATAACAAATAACAGTAATTACTGTTATGACTACTTAAAGACATGCCAATCTGAGAGGCAGTGTGATGTAATTTGTTTATTTTGTGATAACAGACTTCATTTTTTTTCTCTTCGAGATTTACAGCTTTTAAGCTACCCCGTGACTGAGTGGGTTAGACACTCAACACAATCACAGCTATTTTTGAAAAATCAACCCAAGAGCAATTTCAATACCCTATCGTACATCCCATAAAAAACGTTCTGATTACGTAATACATAATTGTCATGTTCGCACTTGTCAATAGGTAATGTGCAAGGTTATTGAAATTGCTTTTAATAGATTGATTTTTCGAAAGTAGTTGCGACCCTATTAGAGCTATAAAAAAAAGAAATTGTATTGCCCTTTGCGACCCCAAAATCTTGAAATCTACTGTCAGCTTTTTAAAAAAGTTGTTTTTACAGTTTTTTAGAGAAAAACAATTTTAAAGCATATAAAACTGAAAAATATCTCCCCAAAAAGTAAAAGTAAAAAAGAATAATAAAAGTAAAAGAATAATAAGTTGTTTTTTTTTAAAGAAGATTTTTGACCGACCGACCCATGTTTTTGCACCTATAGGGCAATACAAGATCTTCTTTTTTTAAGGCCTTAGTCCTAACTTAAACCTCAGTGGATATCGATATAAAATCATTGAGGTATGGCTTTTCTTTGCAGATATTTTGTAATCTACAGTATTCCTACATTGAGGTTCCTCGACCACAGAGCAGTATCGGTGAAAGAGAGAAACGAAGCCAAGAGAATAGGTGCGCTGATGAAGGTAGCCAGACCTGCTGATGTGGTAAGTCTTCTACTGTGCCATGTTTCAAGTACGGTCAAACCTGTCTATTAAGGCCACCCAAGGGAAACACAAAAAGTGGCCTTTGTAGACAGGTGGCCTTCATAGATAGGTTCCACAAAACAAATACATGTTGTATCACTTTGTTGGTGTAATTCTTATCACACTTTTATTTAAATCACTAAATTTCTTGCAAAAGAGCAAGACAAAAAAAAGTTCAAGCAACAAAGTTCAAGAAATAGTTGAAGATGTTGTGTGTTGATATTAAGGGATTCTCTTCTTCACCCCTCTCTCTCTATCTCTCTCTTTCTTTTTTCTCTTTCCCCCTCTCTCTTTCTCTCCCCCCCCCCCCTTCTCTCTCTCTCTCGTTCTCTTTCCCCTCTCTCTCACTCTTTCTCTTCCCCCTCCATCTCTTTCCCCTTTCTCTCTCTCTTTCTTTCCCTCTCTCCCTCTCTTTGCCTCTCTTTCCCCTCCCTGTGTCTCTATATATCTCTCTCCCTCTTTTCTCCCTCTCTTCCCCCCCCCCTCCCTCTCTTTCCACTCCCCATGTCTCTATATCTCTCTCTTGTTTTTCCCCTTTCCATCTCTTCCACTCTCTCCCTCTCTTCCCCCCTCTCACTTTCTTTCACTCTCTCCCTCCCTTTCACTCTCTCCCTCTCTTTCCACACCTCTCAGTCTCACTCTCTTGTACTCTCAGTTCTCTCTCTCTCTCTCTCTCTCTCTCTCTCTCCCTACCAACTGCCTGTCTTAAATCAAATGGAGCTTAATATGCCTCACTCTTCCTTAATATATACGGACATCCTTAATATATACGGACATCCTTTATGATATTTGGAACTTCACCTATAATGGTAGACTCACCTGTGTGTATTATCTTCATGGGTAATTTACAACTGCATAAAGAATGTTTACATATTGTTGTGGTTCAATTTTTATTGTACGATTTCATCATGTATGCTTTTCTGAACTTTGTGTACAATTCAGCCCTCAGGCTGCTATGCATATTTCAGAGTAAAAGCTTTAATATATTTTTTTGTTTTTTGTTTTATGTCTTGTTGTTTTGTTACTGCTTTGATGTTTTAATGTAAACATTTAGTTATTTTTATATATTTTTTCCCATTTGCTATGTTTTTATTTAAGTAAATGTTAATGCTTTTTTATATAATTGTATGTATGATGTATACTCACATTTTTAGTCTTTGGACTTTTTGACGAGGTTGTATAAAACCTAATTTGAATTTGAATTTGAATTGAATAAATAAACCATTATTATTATTAATAATATTATGTTATATTTATTTGATTTTAGGATGACGCGGAGGATGCGCTATCTTCCAACTCTACTCTCTATTCTCCTCTGCCATCACAAGCAAGAAATACAGATGGCAATCCTCAAGGTAATTAATAACCTTTCACACATCTCTAATTCATGTAGAGGTGTTATGGTCTAGTGGATAAGTCGCAGGACTGTAGATCACAAGGTACTGGGCTCAAATCCCAGCCCAACAATAACTTCCTTTGGCAAGACGTTAATCTACATTTGCCACTGTGAGATGGTGATTTGCACCACCCTCCACCCAGGTGCTAAATAGGTACCCTGTAAGATGCAAAAGTCATTTTAGTTCATAATTCTATGAAAATTCTATAGAATTCTAGAAATCCCTAAAATGGTGCCTGGCTGGCTGGGACATTCCCCGTGGAGTGGAGAATGTGCATGTATTGTGTGCATGTAAGCCAGAATCTGATGACTGGAGTAATGATACATCTGTAGACACATAGTTGATGAATCCTATATGTATATGTATAAACCAAGAATTTTATTGCTATTATTAATTTCCTCTAGAAATTGAAACCTTTATCACCATCAGAACAAGGAAATAATTCACTTCAAAAATTAATTACACCACTAGAACATTGCAAGAGAATTGAAGACATTAAGCAACTGAAACCTATTCTTCAAGAGCCCGGTGTGAAATACATGTAGTTATAAGAAGAGTGTAATACCGGTATGTAGAATAGAAGATAGGGGTTGTTCTTAATGTAAACTGATAAACTGCATTAGAGTAACCTCTGCAGCAGAACAAAATGAAATGTGCAGTTGACATCACTTAAGGCTCGTTCAGATATTAACGTGGTAAACTAACGCAAAAACCCCACCACATTTGTTTAAAACCTGTAAATAAATGGCATATGCATACAACAAAGGTCCTGAACGAATTCAGTGAGCTCTGTGTTATAAGATCCAGAATGTGAAGTGTATTTATCTTCACTTCATCATAAAAAGCTGCAGCGGTTTTTGCCACAAGGCTTTACACATCCTTACATACAGGTACAGGTCAGAGAGTGCATGATATTTGTGATCTACCGGTTCACGCTGCACAGATATGCTTTCCAACCATGTGTTATTTTTACATGTAACATGGTTTCCTTTAATTTCTAATAATAATAATAATAATAATATTTAATTTTTATATAGCGCTCAATACAAATGTCCCTAAGCGCTTTACAAATATAATATTACCCCGGTTTATGGATTCAGTGCTTGCCCGCACACACTGTGTGCACAATCTCCACTCCCTGGGGAGCATTTCAGCCGGGCGTTACTTGACGGTTAATGATGGTTTATGACATCATGTGATACAACATCAGAGCATAATGTTTATACATTGGAGGTTAAAAGCCGTGTAAGGGCTTGCCTGAAACCAAACTTTAAACAAAATATAAAGGCATTATAAATAACTCAAAGTCCATGAGCTCAGTTTCTGTGTAAGCTGTCACTTTTATGGTATTATGACATATACCAGGGTTTTTTTCTAGGAATTTGGAAAGATGAGGTAACTTGGCACGTGATTATATCTTGAAACGCACTGTGCACTGATAACGGCTGCTTGTAAACATCACAGATTTTTGTTTACATAGGAATTTCAACTGACTACTCCAGTGTTACACCATACCCCTGAAATGCAGTAGACTGGAGTGTAATTTTCTCATCAAAATACAATATGAAGGGGGATGTTCTAGAAAAAGTTTTTTTTTTTGGTCCTATTTATGCTTTGATTTATCATCACTCATAAATCTTTACAATCTTTTTGACAATCTAATTTACCCAACAGTCTACGTGTTAAGTACAAATAGTTGGTATTGATGGAGATGGAATTTGAACTTGTTTTGTAGTGAACCGATCAACTGAAAAAATAATTCATCATAAGTCAATAAAAAAAACCTCTTGATCTGGCATCCTATGGGCTATCAAACAGATAATGAGTATGAAGAAAATAACTGATAACATAAAACCCCGCGCTCGGAACCCAAGTTGGACTTAGGTTCTGTACAGGCCCTTTTCTATTTGAACATGTTCGGGTTCGTTGAATAGACTACTAAAAAGTCGCTTTTGTGTTTATAATTGAGAGAGTATTTACACTCGCCTTATCTCTTCATAGAGGTAATATATGAAGCTCATGTTTTCAATATAGTATAGCGACGTGAAACCCCCATTACATACAAAGCAAAATATTTTTTGGTAATTGGTACACTTTAAAGGGGAAGTCTACCCTAATAATGGGTTTGGTTTATACAAGAAGAAAAATGTGTAGAACAGATCAGTGAAGGTTTGAGAAAAATCAGAAAATATATTAGTAAATTATTTTTTTTTACGAGATACTTCAAATCTTGAGTCAAATTGGCAACGCGGTCTCTAAATATGATGTCAACCCCTCACATTTTAGCCTCTGTTGAATGCAAGAAATGTCATTAAATTCCATTTTGATCAAAAGATATATTTTCTTCATGCCTATCTCAATCATATATCACGGATAACATGTTCTTTCATGCACCTCCATATAAGATAGGTCTACTATTCAATTAACATTCAGAGAAATGAAGATTTGTGGTCATTCTGTTATTCAGATCAGTGATGAATTGTGAGGGGATGACATCACAATTTCAATTTCTGACTGTATTGCCAAATTGTCTCAAAGATTCCATGATTTTGAAAGATTCATAACTTTCGTATTTGTTGTCCGATATTTCTCAAACTTTCACTGAATTGTTTCTCTAATGTCCCAATTGAATATGAGGGTAGACTTCCCCTTTAAATACTTTAGGCAACAAAAACATTGTATCATCAGATAACTGTTATAAGAATAGAAAAGACAACGGAATGAACCAAAATACAGAGACTGATATGATGGTAGTTGACCCCTGACTCGTGATGATATATACCAATGCAAGTCTAGATGATAAATCAAACCTATTTGTTTTGTGGTATTTGACTTAAGTATATTGTCTTCCTTTAGTCATTATTTAGTCTTGCGGGTGGTGGACTTTGTTCCAAAACATGCTGAAATAACGCAGTAAGTATAGGGCTATAAACCCTTGTTAGGCATAACAAATAGGCATATAAATCTCAAGTGATTTACATGAAGGTGTTTTGGCTAGGACTGGCCAGGAAGGGATTCATTTTCTCAAAATTGTTGTTATACTAACATCTGTGTGTATTAAAAGATTAATGATGATTATGTAGTAGTTCAGAGTCATTTTTGTAAAGTCAAGTAAAGCCGGTTGAATACCTTTCTTTCCTGATATATGATAGTAATGCAGAGACAAGAATGCTGTTAGAAAGTATTGTCATTGAAGTCTAATCACGTTTTCTTTTTATCCAGGTACGTATGGACGCTGCAAATATGTCTACTATGGCCGCCACTCAGAAGGAAACAGGTTCATCCGTAACAACGACCTATGATCCAATGACCTTTGCATCAGGTGACGACCTTTGACCCCCAACACATCCATAGAGGTCAAGAGACCACTCGGTTATCAACAACTTTTGGATAAAAAGGGATTAACATCTTATGCTTATTTACTTAAGGACTCTAAGGTTCTTTTATACATTCTGTTGCGATCTGAGCCATATTTTGAAGCATTTTCAAGCAACATTTTTAATAATAACTGAATAATACTAACCTGATTTTCAAACATGTATAATGAGAATTCAAACCCGTCATTGTTACATGTTAAAACCCATTGTGGACCACCCTCGGACAAGAAACAAAAGTTATTTGTAATAAAAGATGTATAATAAAGAGTCTTGTTTTATACATACAGATATGATGTACTAAATGTGGTGAATTGCCATTTGGTCTACACCCAGTTTGTCTAATGCCCATTTCGTCTACTATCCATATGGTCCTCTAATCATTTAAAGAGAAGGTTGAGTTCTGGGAAGAGGTGAAAAATAATTTGTGAGCATTACTCATTCTTATTATGCAAGTGTGGAAGAACATCAGTTAAGACATGTTCCCTGAAAAGCTTGGCTCTTCAAATGCCTTCATATTCTAAATATACATGTAACATCGTAAAAATCGGGGGCCGGCTTTTTACGCCACGTGTTCGTGTAGTCCCATATACATCTTTCTGTGCAAGTGTTTGTAACTTTACCAAGACTTGGCCACATTTCTTATCATTTTGATGATTCCAGAACCTTGCAATACACACAAATTCTTATATGCTAGATGATCAACCTTTTCTGGTCGGTTCCACACCGTTTCTTTCACAATGCAATCGCATGACCAGAACTCAACTTCATCTTTAATCATAAATAATTATAATAATCATCAAATGATAATTAGACCCTATGGATAGTAAGCCAAGTGGGTATTAGACGAACTGGGAATTAGAATATTTGTAGCTGGTTATTAGACTAAATTAACAATAAATGATCATTAGGCTATGTGGATAGTAGACGGCTGGGTGTAGACCATATGGAATAGACCAATTGGGTAGTAGATGAACTGGTTGCAGACCAAACGGCAATAAACCCTTAAAGGTAAAGACCAGTATTGGAAACGCACCAATTTCAAAAAATGAAATAGAAGCTCTTATTACCAATCATGTGAAAGAATATGTTTTGAATATTACATGATGATAAAAATTTTGACAGGAAACCTCCTACTAATTGATATATTTGGTAAATTAGTGTATCTCTTGCCTGTTGAGAGATATGAAATGCACGTTTCGCGCACGTGTGTGTAGTCCCATATACATCTTTCTGTGTACAGTGCTTCTAACTTTATGAAGACTTGGCCAAATTTCTTATCATTTTGATGATTCCAGAACCTTGCAGTAAATCTGTGCTAGATGATCAACCTTTTCTGATCGATTCCACAACGTTTCTTTCACAATGCAATCGCATGGCCATAACTGGTCTTTAGCTTTAATGCTTTACTTGTAGTTTGCCATGTGAGTCAAGTTACAAAAAACATAACCTATGAATCACGGTTTGTTTTGACTAGATAACAATTTATTCTTGACCTGCAAAGCTAGTTATTGCTTTGCCTAATTTAACAAAATTTAATAAAAGAAATTGTAAAATGACAAAGGAAATAAATGTCTTCCTGTCATCTATACATTGAAGAGTTTAATTCCAAAAGGAGCTAAATCCATTTTTGTAACTTCAGAGAAAAAAGAAATTGTTTACCAGATTTTGTACAGTCGTCTATGGAAAAGTGATATTAGAAGGTGCATTTTTTTATAATTGCTCCCAGAATTTAGGTCAATAATTTTGTTGAAAGACAGGTACTTATGTAAACAATGTTCTGATAACAATAACTCAATTTTCATCAAAAGTGGATTTACCTCCTTTTGGAATTAAGCTCTTCATACTAATCAATCATCATCATATCCTAATGCCCAAAATGCACATTTTCGTTCTTGTGACCTCTTTTCGTGTTGAACTATTGCACCGGCTTCCTCACGATCGACTCATATCGCAATTGCACTGAAAAATTCATCCTGCTTTTGCAATGAAAAAATTTGAATGGAGATTTCAACTGAAAATTCCCTGTGAATAGATTTGTTGCAAGTCCAGATAGCTTTGAGGTCACGTCTAAAGAGCAATATCCACATAATCTTGAAGCCTAGATTGGTGCATCTAAAATTTACTTTATAGGACACCTACACATTTCAATAATTGTGTATTATATAAGTGTCATTTGATATGATTATAATTACTTTCATGAGTATGACAATTGCTGTAAAATATGATATTTAAACAACTATATGTATAGATTATATATTTTTTGGTGCAAATATATGTATTTTGATGCATCAATGTGTATATCATGGAGAAATTAGAATAATGTATATTGATTGAATTTGAATAGCTCTAAAAAATATTGAGTGACAATTATGTTTATGTTATCCATGTAAATTATGGTTTTAGATATTTTAGGTATGTGAAGTTGAAGTTTAGTGGACAATGGTTATACAGAAAATTGTTTCTGAACCTGTTTTAAACCTACTGTCTACTACGCTACTACTTCTACTATTACTACTACTACTACTACTACTACAACAACTACTACTACTACTACTACTACTATTGCTAATACTGCTGCCTACTACTACTACTTCAAATAATAATGATAATAATATTAGTACATTGTATTAGGTAAAATTATAGAAATAATGTAATGTGTATCTTAAATTCTTAGTTGAGTTTTTGTCAATAAGTTTTACAATGTATGTACACAGAAGGTTTGGCATTATGCAAATCACCCGATTAAAAAAAAGGTTGATTTGTAAATAACACTCCAGTAGACTTGTGTGTCAAAGAACTTTTCAGGGGAATTATTTTGTAAGTATTTAAAAAGAACATGGTAATTCATGGTATTTGGTGAAATAAAGTAATTACTAATGATAAGGTAATTACTAATAATAAGGTATTCATTCTTTACTCATTTTCTATAGCAGATATTATGTCAGTACAGTTCTAATCAGTAAAAAATGACTTCGTAACCACAATTTATGTAGTGATCCGATACCTATGCTGCTGCTTATATCATCCATCGGGTGTTCGCGTCAGGGGAGTGTTTCACAAAGACTAAGATCAACTTTAAGTTTGACGTAACTATGGGAGGTGTTTATACCTCTAGTTCCTCTAACCGTTTCTTGCATTGGTTTCTCAAGGGACATACAAGTCGTGGTCACAAATCTACAGAATCAATTTCCTTTTTTTTTTTTATTGTTCATTATTGAAGAAAAAACATTATTTAAAGGTCATAATTGGAAGACCAATGGTGGGAGCAACCAGTGGCATGAATGGCCTGCCATAGTTAAGTCCAACTTAAAGTTGATCTTAGTCTTTGTGAAACACCCCCCTGGTCGGGCTGTCTGGTTACACGAACTGTCGTGAAAACGTACCCTCATATTCACAAAAGGTTGGTGCGTAATGTTTAGGGTCAGGTTACACCAAATTCATGAAAATTTGCTCCTCTATGCACAAAAGGTAGGGAAAACAATTCAAATAATCACATTTTTTCGAAGATGGCCTTTGAGATGAAGCTAAAAAACATGATGTGTAGGCCTTGCATTTTTGAAACATGATCACACAAAGAGGTAATGTCGATTGCTAGCCTTTTTAGGAACTCATGTGATTATCTTAGTGAAAAGTGCCCTGTCGAGTATGCAAGTCTTGTCAATTTACTGTAGGTTTATCAGAGAGTACAGGGTTAACTGGACCCCAGACTTTGTCGATAAGAGAGGTGCATTTCACAAACCTTACATTCCTATCTTTCGTGAATCAGGGGGTATGTTTTCATGAAAGTTTGTGTAACCTGATAACGCGAAGTCCAGTTGGAACGATGTAAGCCATCCCACAAGGGGATTAACGATCTTTTGAATAATTAATATATAATATCAAGTGTATATTTATTTATATTCCATTAATTGACATCAAGGTAAAACTATTTAATAGATGTTGAGCATGTACGAACTGTCTGACAAGTTTATCACTTTCTGTTTGTCTCTGTTCTTTTTAATTTGAACATTGGACATGTGAATATAGTTCATGCTGTGAATCAAATAAAATATGATATGTGCACTTTAATATTTAGTACTTGTGTGTTCTTGATCCATTTGAAGTCCACTGTGTTATAGTTACATTAGTGATTCTGGGGGATTCAGATCATGAAGACCTAAATGAAACATTAAGATGATTACCAACTGTTATCAGATTATTCTTGTATATTACTATAAGATTTGAGCAAAAATATTTTTAATGTTTTCTTGATCGGTCAATGTCCTCCTGATCATGACAGACTAATACTATCTTCCATCAGATTTGCCATGAATTGTTGATTAATTCAACTGAGTTTACGAATAAGAGGTATACAAGAAATCATCTTCAACACAAAACACAAGTCAACACAAAGTTTAATATTTTCATATAACAACTTTAATGATAAAAAATATGAATATATACAGTGAAAGTTAAAAAAAACAAAAAAAACATTGTTCCTTCTTGGTTTCCCTCAAATGATAGAAATAATTACTCGAGTGAAAAGCTTTTAAAATCTTTATCTACATGTATTTGACGCACAAAATAAAGGAAGCACTCATCAAATGTCTCGCCCGTTTAAGACTCACTTGTATAAAATACCTTTTCTTCATTTGCCCATTAAAACTTGCACATTTGTATCTTTCTAAGCTAGCTGTGTTTTAAAGACAATTCTCTAAAAAGGAACTAAAACTAGATGGAACTCGACTGCGTGCAGTCAAAAATGATACCTCAGCCATAGAGCGATTTTTTAAAATTCACTTTTGATGATAATCCATTAACAGGTTTTCAGAATAACGTGATTACATGCTATTACTTCGAGGACCAAGATACATTAATCTTGATCTAAGGAGACGCAAACAAACGAACCCTTTGTTCTTTGACCTAATGACCCTAAAATTTAATCAGTTCATTGGCTCTGCAAGATACATACATGTCTTGAGTTTGATAGTAATCCATCAGTCGGTTCTAATGATAATGCGTTCACAAGCCATTTTTGCATACATAATGAGCCCCATGACCTTTGACCTCATGACCCTAAAATCTAATACGTTCATTTGCTCTGCAAGATACATACATGTCCTGAGTTCGATGATACACGACCCAAGTTTGGCGGGAATCCATCTATCCGTTCTTGAGATAACGCGATCACGAGAATGAGACGTACATAAGGACAACCCAAAAACAATAATTCTTCTCTACTCTACTGGAAACATGCTTGACTACTGAAAAATGCTAACATAAAACAGCAAACTTTCTTTACTTCAATACAAAAACATTAAAAATGAACGTATTGATGAAATAAATAGCCATCCTGGAAAATGATGTGCAAAGAGCTGCGAAATTGTAAAAATGGAATACTTCTACATGTAGTATATTTCTAAAAGAGTGCTAACAAACTTGGTTAATAACCAACAAAAATAATGACAAGATTTAAAGAGTTTTTCATATTTTTGCAAGGTGATAATACTGATAGTTCAAGATATAAATGGTTATAAGAGCCTTTATTCTCTTTTCATAAATGAATAAACTTGTTTGAAAAGAAATTTGAAATAATGACAACATATTTTGTTATCAAAGGAAATGAACATAATATTCTAGAGAGCTCCACAAATCAACCGAAATTAGAAGAAAAAAATTCATAGCGTAGAAAACAAAAGATAATAATAAAATAGATGGATATTCAAATGATACCTCCGCCATAGAGCTAGTTTACAAACCAAAACAGAAGCAATTTTTAAAATTCAAAGTTTGATTGTAATCCATTAGTAGGTTCTCAGAATATCGTTTCAGCTGTCAGCTATTTTCATATACATGTATGACCCTTTGATCTTTGACCTAATGACCAAAAAATCCAACCACTTCATTGGCTCATCAAGATATACATACATGTTTGTGTACACAGTTTGATGGTAATCTGTCTACGATCACAAGCTATTTTTGCATACAAAATGAGCCCTGTGACATGTGACCTTTGATCCTGTGACCCCCAAATCTACTCAGTTCATTAGCTTTGCAAGATACATACATGACCCAAAACGTAATGCCTCCGGCTACTTCGTTGCGTAAGAATAAAAACATTGTTCTGCTTAAAGAGAAGGTTGAGTTCTGGGAAGAGGTGAAAATGATTTGTATTGTATTATGCAAGTGTGGATGAACATCAACTTTACCAATACTGGGCCAAATTTCTTATCGTTTTGACGATACCAGAACCTTGCAGTAAACACCAATACTTATATGCTAGATGATCAACCTTTTCTGATCAAATCCACAACGTTTCTTTCACAATGCAATCGCATGATCAGAACTCAACTTTATCTTTATCATCAAATTACATTTTCATTTCATAGTAGCTTGTATAAACTTCAGCCCAGTTTGGTCAACGTTGATTCAAATTTTGGTAAGTTATCACAGCAATAAGATATATTCTTGGATTGGAACATTTTCACGATCCTGTGATCATTCACCATTTGACCTCTTACATCCAATATCTAATCAGTTCATCCTTGCATGCTGCCACATGCTTGGGCAAAGTTTGGTTAGAATCCACTCGATGATTCTTGAAATGTGGCGGTAACATAAAGTGGGATGAACGGACATCCCGAAAACACTTTCCGGTAGTGGAAGCATAACAAAAATGGAAAAACACATTGTGACCAAACAGCTCAAAACCACTTTTAAAAAAGTCACTAATCTGACGAAAGCACAAATGAGATACACGATCTCTCTGAATAGATATAACACATTGGTCTTAGTACAACATATGTAGGTTCTTCTACAAGTATTACTTACCACTGGAAAGCTCTAGTTTAAGAACATTAACATAACACATCTGGTGACTTTCTTGGTGGTTTTAAGAGAGCAGGTCGCATACATCACATACAGCTACCAGCTAAATTATTCATACCCTTACCAAGTTTTGTAATTTGTAAGTATGTGTAGTATAAATATGTCCCTATTTATGTTTCTTGAGAATGTGACATATTGATTGTTTTGTTTTGTTTTTAACTGACTGCTAAGAATGCATGTGTATGCTTGTAAGTATGCTTTAAGTCCTCTCCAAGGGACTTGGTAATGAGGATTAATGCCTAACCAAAGGGCACTAGCGCATCGACTTGGTTTCGAACCTTGGACCTCCCGGTTATGAGACCACTGCCCTACCACTGAGTCATCGTGCCTCCCTTATTTATTAAAGCTAACATCTAAAAGTATTCAACAAAGCCCCTAAATTCAACCAGTCCACCTTTCATTCTTGAGTTACAAAAACAAACACCCCAAAACTTCAAATTTACAAGGGGTATGAGTAATTCAGTTGGTAACAGTACATTTCACTTTAACTTGTTGATAGGTCTCACTTATATCTTCACGTGTATCAGCAGACAATGACATTTCCCCACTATTATTGTCAAGATTTGTACAATCAATTTTAGTGAAAAAACAAAATGAGAATAAATCAAATTCGTCTTCTCTCTGACCTACTTAATAAACTCATGAGCTAAATTTGCTCATCTCTAGTTGTTGCAGATTAAAAAAGGATAAAAATATCAATGTTTTCAACATAACTTCTTGTGATCTATAACCCATATCACTACAAATTTTCAAATAGCCTCTTTTAAAAGACACAACATGGCACCTAAAAAAAAAGAGAAAAAAGAAGACATTTCTGATAATACCGTGTTGGTCACAGTTATGGATTAGATAAAATGATTTCCTCAGTGAATCTTGATGGTTGTAAAAGAAGTACTTAGTGACTTGAAACTCTTTCAAATACAGTTAACACAGCATAACTCAAAGTTGCACAAATCAGATTTTCCCATGTGGAATCAATTTCTTGTACCAAACAATGCAAAACTTATAACATTAACACTTCCTACACGTAAGTCAAAGTTTACAAAGTTAAACTCTTTTAGATGTCCCAACAGATTTGACTTATACAGAGTTAATTGTACAGTCAAATCTGCTTTAGTGAGCACCTGTCTACAAAGAGCACATTTTTTGTTTCCCTTGAAAATGGATTCTCTTGAAACATGTCTACAAAGACCACTTTTTGTGTTTCCCTTGGGCGGTCGCTATAGACAGGTTTGACTGTACTTGTATTACAATGGTTGACAGGGCTGATTAACAATCACATTTAAAAGGTCATCTTAGGGAATGTTAGATGGGTACATGAAGGAAAGAAAAACACAAAAACCTTGTTCACATGGTATAATAACTTAACAAAAATCAAACACTTCTAATAGCATACAAGTTGTAAGAGGGCAAGAAAATAGTTGAGGTTATTTTTTGTTTTCTTATTCCATTACAAATTACTCTTCAGGAATTCCTCAATAAGGATAAAAAACTTCTTTGAAAGAATTGAATGGTCAAACACAAATTCCTTATGAAGACATTCACTGTTTATAGATAGGGAACTGATATACATCCTTCAATTACACTGCACCAATAAATCTAAGAAATAAAGGTTTTTTTCAGGGGTTGTTGCTTCTGTGTTCTCACAGAAACTTGAGAGCCAAATTCCATGACTTTCCATGACCCAATTTTGCCCTTTTCCATGACCAGATAGGTTCTATTTATATGCATTGTGGCATACAACTTAGATTTATATTATTTCATGTTGGTAATGGCCGCTATTTGATGCTATTTGATTCATGAAAGGGCTTTCACATAGCTTTGCAATCAAAATTTTTCTGGCCAGCTGTGTTTAGACTTGAATAAACTACAATAAAGATGTGTGTTCCTTCTCTTTTAACATGTTGTCTTATATTTATTTCACGTCATTCTCTTTGACTATCTCTCTCTCTCTCTCTCTCTCATTCTCTCTTTCTCTCTCTCTCTCTCTCATTCTCTCTTTCTCTCTCTCTCTCTCTCTCTCTCTCATCTCATTCAAACTTTTTCAGCACATCTTACACTTAAAAATATAACTTATTAAAGAAAACTACTTAAACTGTACAAACAACTTAAAAACCATGTATTTCTACATTAATTCTTTGGCACCTGGAATGAATCGAGTCGCTTTTGACCCTCCCTTCATCCCACGAAAGAGAGTCGATCGGTTCCTCGGGCAACGGTTTAATCCATGCAAACAGAGTTGAATGCTAGCACGTTGAACGCATGGTCTGTGTGGGCCCCGGTTTCACAGGAAGAAGAGCTTGTCGCACAGTTCCAACGAGGGTTCCTTGTGGAGGTTCTGTCCCACCAAATAGGCAAGCTTGTGTGCGTACTGACAGGGTGCGGGCACCCGGACGGTTCCTGGCCAGTTGTAGTACAGGTGGGTCAGTTTGTAGGCCAACCTGTTGACATCAAGGATAATAATCACAACATTTAGAAATGCTCTCATATCCTTCCTAAAGGATGCTAGAGGCACCTGACAAGGGCAATTTTCAAATACAAGTACAGTCATCTCCGCATAACTCAAGTTCACACAAGTCAAAGCTTCCGAAAGTCGAATCAATTTTTGGACCAAACTTTTTTTTTGCAGTACCAACAGATATAACTTATGCAGAGTCAACTGTACATGTGAAAACATATTATAAATTACATGACAAAATAATTAAATTACAATGAGTGCATGAAATTGAATTGCATAATATGCTACAAATAAACTAAAAGATTACACCCAAGATATGTTTCCAAGTTGTTTAAAGATAGTTTTTGTAGATTTATATTTTGACAAAAAGGGGTTTCTATCATTCCTACTCCTCTTTGTTTTTTATTCTTTCTAAATGGCCTTTTAAATTTTATGATGTAACTGAAGAGAAGATTGGTACTACAAAATTAAAGAACAGAAGCAAAATTTAATACAGACATACTAAAGCTTTTCAACATGCACTCATCAGAGTAAATCACAAAAATGAATAGAAAGGCGATATCAAACAATATTTGCTGAATCTAAAGGGACAGAGCACACACAATCAAAAGGGCTTTGATTGGCTGCTGGAAAGTATTATTTCTATTCTCAAATTCTAAGAACATGAAATTCGGGTAGAGGGTAATGATTGATCGTACATACCTTTGCATGTGATCAGGTTTGAGTTGAGTGCTGTCGTGGACCACCACGTAGTGTGTCGGTGTGACTGTACCTTGTCTTACGTGCTGGGATACTAAGAAGAAGTCGTACCATGTAGGGCGCGTGATGGTGTGATCTATGACCATACCAGGGTACGGGTTCTCGTAGTTACCGCCCTGTAATCAAACGCAATAAAGAACTTTACTCAAAGCCCCACTGCACTAGTTGGCCGGGAGGATTAGACCTCCCTGCATGGTCACTGACAGGTGATTATCTCATCAAATCAGCTCTCAATTAACATAAGAAAAAGGGGACCATGTGGGACCGATGGTCACCGCTTAGGTAGTGTTTGCTATATAGAGGGCACAAGTAGCTATAAGTAGTGCAGTGGGGCTTTAATTTCTTTCTAAATAAAGTTATTTGAAAGACTTGCTGAAACTTTTTCAACAGGATAGTTTGGAGAAATTAGAAACAACTTTTATGACACATCTATATTTAATCACACGTATGAGAGTTTTGGTGTCTAAGTGCAGGCTTGAGACACCTTTCTCAGACATGTACTTGCAAACTGAAGCTAGCTGCTAGTTCTCAGGTTTTAAGAAGCTGCCGTTTTAGCGATTGTTGCATAATATTGAAATAAAAATAATAGATTGCTCACACTTCAACTCCTAACTAAGCTGATCCTGTCTATGTCAATGCTTGTAGGCCATCAACAACCAGTAATGACTTAGAGCAAAATAAACGTTGCTCTTTTTCAAATACATGACATAGACTTATCCATCAAATACAATCAATTATTTTGTTTAAAAAAACAAAAAATAAAAAAGGGGTAATTTATAGTAAAACAGTATGGTAAATTGAATTGACTTTCAATAACAAGATTAGAGAGTTAGATAAACAGAGAAGAAAACAATATATAGTGAAAACAAATGTTAGAGAAAGATGATATACACATTTTTTGCTGTGAGCCTTTGTCAAGTAATGGCATATGTTATTAAAAACCTGCAATAATTCTTGTCAAAAAGGCGCACAAGTAAACTAACTGTGCACAGTTTAGAAAAGTAAAGAAGAGAAGTCTGTGCTAAGAGATGACAAAACAGAGTAAAAGACTAGAAAAGCGCAAACGAAAACGGTAAAGGAGAGTGGGAGCAAGTGAGAGAGAGTGAGAGAGTGAGAGAGAGAGAGAGAGAGAGAGAGAGAGAGAGAGAGAGAGAGAGAGGGGGGTTACAAAGGAAAAGACAAGGAATATTCGAAAGAAAAGGGGAAAGGACAGAGGGAGAAAGTATCATTATTAATTGGAAAGATGAAATGTTCGCTTACCGCAACAGAGAATATCCTTGTGTTGATTCTCTTCTGGACGACTACGATACATAGCTGGGGCTTGTAGTCCGCACCAAACATGCTGAAGCATTGAGAGAGCTGTTCCTGTTCGTAGGTTGCTACCACGTTCAGCTGCCCATCGCCGACGCCGTCTCTGAAGATCACAATCTTCTCAGGCAAAGCATGGTTGATCTGCAATCAAGCAATTTGGTTTGTCGAAAAAAATGAATGTGACTGCGTTTGTGACAAACTTGGTGAAGTAACAAGTACTCTACACAGAAAGATGTATATGGGATCACACAACCATGTGGCATAAAATTTGAGCCTCATTTTTAAGCTTTTACTTGTCATATCTAGAATATGGAGGCATTTGAAGAGCCATGTTTTTCAGGGAACATTTTTAATCTGATGTTCTTCCACACTTGCATAATAACAATGATAGCGCTCACACATAATTTTTTACCACTTCCCAGAACTCAACCTTCTCTTTAAAGGCCCACTGTACTACTTGTAGCTACTTGCCCCTTCTATATAGAAAGCAATGGCTAATCGGTGACCATTGGTCCCCCATAATCCTCTTTTTCTTATGTTAATTGAGAGCTGATTTGATGAGATAGCCACCTGTCAGTGACCTTCCTGGGTGGTCTAATCCCTCCTAGCATAACTAGTACAGATGGGCTTTAAGCTAAAAAGAGTTCAAGTAGAAACAGAACTTACATCATGGTACTTCTTGAGAGATGATGTGAAGCAGAGCTTGAGACCACCGATCAGCTCCTGGTGTGGGGTCTGAATACATACCCTGGAAAACCAGCTGGTCAGATCCCTGTAATGAATGAATGCAATGTAAACTTTGTATGAACACACCCTTGAAAATCAATCTGTCAGATCACTTATAATAATAATAATAGCTAGTTCTTATATATAGTGCTTTTCAGGACCAAAGGCCCTCTCAAAGCGCTTTACAGATATATATATATATATTATTACCCCGGTCATAGGATTCAGGCTTACCCGCACACAATGTATGCACATTCTCCACTCCCTGGGGAGCATTCCAGCCAGGCGTCTTTTTTTTTCTTTTTTTTTTATGAATGCAAGATTAAATTTTATATGAATACACCCTTGAAAATCAAAGTGTAAGATCACTGATGAATGCAAGATAAACTTTATATGCAAGATAAATTTTATATGCAAGATAAACTTTATATGCAAGATAAACTTTAAATGCAAGATAAACTTTATATGCAAGATAAACTTTATATGCAAGATAAACTTTAAATGCAAAATAAAATTTATATGCAAGATAAACTTTATATGAACACACCGTTGAAAATATTATTTTTCTCTGATGTTCTTCCACATTTGCAAAATAACAATGAAAACGCTCACAAATTATTTTACACCTCTCCCCAGAACTCAACCTTCTCTTAAATCACAAAAGTTTGCATTGCAATGTCTCAACTTCGCCATGAGTAGGGCCTCATACTGAATTTTTTGGAAGCGGGTCTAGATAGATAGATAGAACTTTAGAGAGTCTGCATGCATGAGCCCTATGTGAAAATTCTCATATTTTGTAGGCCCGGACTTAAATTTAGGGTGCCCTTGTGTCCTGGGCACCTGTTGGTGTGTAGCCCTGCCATATGGGATGTTATGCCTCAGTCACGCCTTTGCGTATTTATGGCAAGCCGTTTTGACATTTATTCCTATTTCTTGATATCAAGAATTACCATTGCTTCACAACAGAAAATCATTTCTTAATATCAAGAAATAGGAATAAATGATAAAACGGATTGCCATAAATACGCAGCAATACGCAAACCAAATACGCAAAGGTGTGACTGAGGCATACAAGAGAAAGACTTACCGGTTCATACTGGCTACGAATGCTCCGATGGACTTCTTGCCTCGGTTGGGATCGTGATACACGTCGATACCAATCACCATCAGTTTGCTCTGTATACATAATAATAATAATAATTAAATGAATTTATAACTAGCATGTATCCGAAACTTTGATCAAGGCGCGACAAAAATGACAAACAAATAACACATCAAAACAACTTCCAGCAAGATGCAAACATAGATGTGAAATAGTCAAGTGGTTTGAGCACTTGACTGTACATGCAAAGGTTGTGGGTTCGATCCCTGACACGTCACTAATGTCCTTTGGCAAGGCGTTTATCTACATTAGCCACTCCATACCCAGGAGAGAAATGGGGACCTGGTAGAATGACAAAAGCCTTTGTCATAGAAATTGCCATATGCCCTTTCAACCCATATTAAGTACTATATAAACCCAAATTTTGTTTGGGTTTTATTATATATATGGATTTATTATTATATGGATTTCATACGTGCATGAATATTTCTGATACCCTCTAGCAGCTAAATAGTTTTATTCATCGTCAATCCCTCAAATTTCAAATGTTAAGGCTCGTTCACATATGGCGTGGTAAGACGACGCAAAAAGCTGCCTCTGCTTTTTTTATAACATGTAAATGAATTGCAACTGCGTGCAACAAAGGTCTAATGGGGCATTGCAAGAACAAATCCCCCAAATCAAGCGTAAGTCTTGCGATAAATTGCAACTCAACTTTCTCAGTAAGAGAGAGAGAGGGGGAGGGAGAATAAAAGCTAGATCTAGTTAACTTAATTTAATTGCTGAAACTTTAATCCTAACAAAATCCTAGGAAATTTAGGAGACTAGTGGTTACAAATTTAGCAACTTGCAATCAATTGCAACTTTCTTGCAACGCCCCATAGGTCTGCTTAAAAAACGTCAAGGTTTTGCTCTGTCTTATCTGAACGCGCCTTTAATGCGATCGATTATACGTACCAAGGGGACGTCCAGAGCCCAGAGCTCTCCTCCAAGTTTGCAGTTGATCTGCAGAGCAATCTTCTGGGTGACGCTTCTCAGCTTCTGCTTCTGTGAGATGGTTCTTCCATTGATCACCTGATAACGAAACAATAGACATGGTCTAATCATGTGACTACTAACCAGTTAAAGACGCATAGTAGTCGGTTTCAGGGGGAATTAAACACCATTCAGGTGTTTAACCCAATTAAAAGAGTTGTCAGTCACCTAGAATGGACATCACTTTTAAGAAGGTTAGATCTTGTGTTACCTTGCACTGTTCCTTGGCCTACCACCGTACGGAATTCTGATCATAAATATAAATTGCCCTCATCCTCCACTGTTCCAGAAGGCCTGTCTTTATCAGCTCACCAAAGTCTGCCGAATAACCTGCTATTTTAACTATCCCGGTCGCAAATTAGCCAGTTCATTTGTGTCTTCAATTCTTCATCAGACCGCTGTTGCAATTAGCGGGATATTTGGTCGAGAAAATATCCTGAAAAATGTTAGTCTTGTTTCCAAAATATCCAACTATTAGGGAAATAGCGGGCTAATTTGCACCCGTCCGAGCTAGTTTGTGAGGAGCGTATCGGTCTGGTGAAGATGCATATATCCAGAGTCTGAAAATAGCGGGTTATTTGACTAACTCGAGCTGATGAAGGCAGGCCTAGTTAGATCTTGTGTAATGCACTGTGCCCTAGCCTACTATAGTGTGGAATTCTCATCATAAATATAAAATTTTCCTCACCCTCCTGTGTTTTAGAGACCTTTGCATACCCGGACACATTACTTGGTAATTCAACCTAATCTAGTGACAGTGAATTACAATGCAATACACATAGAGACTGACTAATAGATGGCATTAATAACATTTGGGGTTTAAGCTTGTGTACAGTTACGGCAGCAAAAAGGAAACTGGAAAGAAACGTATTAAATAAAAGTCAGTTGTTCTTCTTGTATCAAAAGAAATATGTATGAGATAATTTATAAAGGATCGCATTAGTGGAATAAATATGAAAATAGAAATTGAAAATGGAAATGAAATAACTACAACATGTATTTTAACTATTTCTTATTACTACTGGTTATAACTGATTAAATCTAGTTACAACTGGTTATTACTGGTTACAACTGGTTATTACTGGTTACAACTGGTTAGTACTAGTTTTTAGTGTTGTGTACCTGAGAGGGAACGGGTGCCTCTATGCAGCAGAGTTTCTTGAAGGCACTGTAACGATCATCTCTGGATGTAGGGAAGATGGCGATTACAAGTTGAAGCTGAAAAGAAAAAGAAAAAGTAACATCTATAGATATATGTAAAGGGCAATCACATACTGGTAGTTATTAATGTTTGAGTTTGTTTAATGGCATTGTACTGGTCATCACTATCATCATCGCCAATATCATCATCATCATCATCATCATCACCACAACCATCATCAACATTATTACCATCACCATTACCACCATCATCATTACCAATATCATCATCACCAACAACATCATCATCACCATCACCAATATCATCAACACCAAAAACCTCCTCCTCCTCCTCCTCCTCCTCCTCCTCCCCCTCCCCTCCCCCTCCCCCCCCCCCCCCCCCCTCCCCCCCCCCCCCCCCCCCCCAACCACCACCACCACCACCACCACCACCACCAACACCAACACCAACACCACCACCACCACCACCACCACCACCACCACCATTGCCATCATCACCATCACCCTCCTCATCCTCCTTATCCTCACTATCATCATCACCATCCTCATCACCATCCTCATCATCAATACCTGCATCATCCCACCACCACAACCCTCATCCTCATCATTATCACTATCATTACTACCACCACCACCATCACCATCACCCTCATCTTCCTCATCATCACAATCATTACACCACCAACACCATCATCCTCATCCTCAATACCATCCTTGTCATCATCATCATCATAATCACCATTACCACCACCACCACCACCACCACCACCACCACCACCACCACCACCACCACCACCACCACCACCACCACCACCACCACCACCACCACCACCACCACCACCACCACCACCACCACCACCACCACCACCACCACCACCACCACCACCACCACCACCACCACCACCACCACCACCACCACCACCACCACCACCACCACCACCACCACCACCACCACCACCACCACCACCACCACCACCACCACCACCACCACCACCACCACACCACCACCACCACCACCACCACCACCACCACCACCACCACCACCACCACCACCACCACCACCACCACCACCACCACCACCACCACCACCACCACCACCACCACCACCACCACCACCACCACCACCACCACCACCACCACCACCACCACCACAACCATCATCATAAATCCTACCACCATCATCACAACTACCACTAAAAAATAATAGCTAACCTGAGGGTTGATGGATTTCTCGACCATGTTTGTATAGCTCTGCGTCCTATCATCCTGTAGTTCCACCATAGAGGGATGTTCATCATCCTCATCATCATCATCATCATCATCATCATCATCACAACCACCACCACCATCATCACAACCACCAATACCATCAATACAACTACCACTAAGAAATGATAGCTAGCTAACCTGAGGGTTGATAGACTTCTTGACCATGTTCGTGTAGCTCTGCGTTCTATCATCCTGTAGTTCCACCATAGAGGGATGCTCAATCTCAATGCCCATCTGTGGACAGACTTGCTTCATCATTTGTATGAACTCAGCTGCTTTGGGAGCATCACGCCGTGTGAACACGACCACCCAGTTTCTCAGTGGGACCTTAAAACAAACCATACAGAGTTGAATATTAGGTCATAGAGGTAAGATGTTGAATAGGCAGTTGTAGTTCATGGGTCACATGACATGTAAAGAAGGCCTAGAGAATCTTGCTTTGACAGGGAAAATTATGGGAAGGAGGAGTAGGGGAAGAAGGAGAATACTATAGATGGACAGTCTACAGAAATTGTTAGAAGAGGATTGAAAGAACTGGGAGTGGTGCTAATAGAGAAGGCTATAGGAGACGAGGGTTGTGGAACAGCATTATCACCACAGTCAATTCTCGCTACCCCAAATAGCGATTCTGCCGAGATCCGGGGAAAATCCTGAAAACGCGCATTGCATTATGGGATAGCTTTTCGACATTACAGCTTCCTGTGCAGGCGTTCGTGATCACAACCCTCTCTTTCACGGTAGAGTTTAACGGCCTTTTGTGCTAAAGTCACTAATTCTGCCCGAAGCTTTCCATTGCATATTATAATCTGTACAAATTACACTGATTGGCATCGATTTTAGCGTGCGTGAAAACTCTGCACAGCGAACACAGGCGCTAGCGCCAGCGGGATGGGACTCTATACCGAAAGTTGTAGTGACGACCCGAGAGAGTGAAAATTACCTCGTCTCGCGAATTTCGAGATTTTCGTACCTATTTAGGGTAGCGAGAATTGATATGGCACTTAGAGAGAGAGAGAGAGAGAGCTAAGAAAATGTATGATTTTTTTCAAACTTTTAATTTATGTAGAAACACAAGACACAAGTATTGGAGTATTTCATCTCCCATTAGCAAGCTTATTTTAGAAATCCATTTTGAATAGTTTGGAAAGTCCAAAGTCTCACATGTAAAAGTGGCGTATTTCTCTTGTGGACTCTTTTAGAAAAGAAAGGGGTGGAAGTAATTCACAAGCAAAGGTTCCCTTACAGTCCAATGTCAATTTTAGAGCGATAAATTGGGACCTCTCTGTTGTGTGGTTCAAATTTTTTTAAATGGAAACACATTTCTTTAATTTCCATATTTTCCCCTCAAATGGTAACACTGAATTAATGATTGCAACAAATTTTGAATGTTACTTAGTAGCCAATCTTCTTTAATTTTCAACTGGTTTTATTATCTTATGGTAAATTAGCAAAACATACAAACATTAAAAAGAAATACTGTACTGCTCCATAAGGCAAAAAATAAAAAGGTTTCTGCTTTTTATTGATATGGCGATGAAAACATATCTAAAATTAAAAAAACAACCAGGAAATAGAAGATGATGAAGTGAAGGTTAGATAAGACTTACCGCCGTGATGACATGTTGTCTGGTGCATTCACGCCCCCAGTCAGCTTCTTTCGACGCCTTGAACGATGAACGACCGAGCTTGATGTTCTCCAGAGGTAGCTGTCTCCCTGTCAACTAAAAACAATCGATCAAAACATTTAAGAAATATCACCTTGTATCAAATCTGTACAAAGCTACATCAATTATAAACACAAATGAACATCTTCAAGTGTGCATAAAGCTAGATCTAAAACATAAATAATCAAATTCATAAATAATGTACGTATTCATACCTAACATGTAGTCTACATGAATATACTAACAGACATAGACAACAAATAAAATGAAATAAAGTGTACAACCAGCATTTCCCAAAATCCATACCAAACTTAATTGCAGTTGGATTACCATGTGGGCGCCCGTAAAAAAAGAGGCGACTAGCTGGAATGTTCCACATGGCGTGGAGAATGAACACTATAATGTAATCTCAGTTAAAGTAGTCACCCGAAAAAAAATCAAAACAAATAATTATGGACAAATTATATATGGATGGAAAGATTTTCTCTTGAAAAACATGAATAATTTGCTGAAAAATCATGTAGATATCATGGAAAGGCGTAACATGCAATTTTGTGGCTAGCTGTGTCTCGCATGTGACGTGACGAATCGTGATGCTCTACGGAGGACCTCTGAAGGCAGAAAATCTGGATCTCAAAATTAACGTTTTTAAAAGATGATTACTGCAGGCCCCAAACTTATTTTGAAGAGGGAAGTTGTTATATTTGATTAGTAAGGCTTCCCCTTTGCAATGATATGACTTTTGCATCAATTCAAAACACTTTTGATTCTTCGGTGACTACCTTTACGGTGAAGAACTTGATATAAAACCGGTATTGATATTCTAATCACTCACCTGAAGGAGGTCATGTTGCAGCTCCAGTCCCCACCCTGAGAGCTCTTCTGCGGCTTGTTCATTGGCATACACATTCTTGATGAACTTGAGCATGGACTGATGTCGCTGCTGAGGTGTGACCCTTGTATGCATGGCTAGATCCTGTTCAAGTTTTAGTGAGCAATGATTCAACAGTGGTATCATAAATACTATGACAATATTTCATCTGAAGTGTCCCACCCATAGAGGTTAAAGGTATAGACCAGTTTTGGAAACGTCCTCTCAAAAAATAAAATGGAAGCTCTTATTATCAATCATGTGAAAGAATATGTTTTTACTAATACATGATACAAATTTTGCCGGGAAACCGCCTACTAATTGATATACAGTCAAACCTGCTTTAGTGACCACCTGCCTACAAAGACCACCTGTCTACAAAGACCACATTTGTTGTTTCCCTTGAAAATGGTTTCTCATTGAATCGTGTACTAAAGGAACCTGTCTACAAAGACCACCTGTCTACAAAGGCCACTTTGTGTGTTTCCCTTGGGTGGTCGCTATAGACAGGTTTGACTGTATTTGGTAAATTATAATATCCATCCGGCCTGGATAGATATTGCGAATGCACTTCAACATTTAGGCATATATTTCTGTTTTTTGGCGAATTTAGGTTGAAATATTGCCATCTAAACCTCTGAAGGCAATATTTTAAAAATATTGAATGGATATTTTGCACCCAAAACCCTTGAACCGCAATTGTACCACTACCTTTAATAAAATCCTTCACATGGAGAGCTAAACTCTGTTGACTAAGCTGTAAACACAGAACTTTTTATCCCTAAATTACTTGCAGTTTACCTTCACCAAACCCTTTAAATAAAAAAAAGGTCTTTATATTTTACTCTACACTAAGAATAATACTTGATTTGCTAAAGGAGAATTCCTTGACAAATGTGAATCAATTGTTATGCAACATGGAGAATGATTTGTTTAACTAAATATTAGAATATATTATCAAATCTTTATAGAGCAAAACATAATGAAAGCAAAAAAAATGATGCTCAGTACAAAATGTCCCCTTTTTGCAGCATTACATTGTTTTAATTCATTCAGATTCACCGTTGCCATATTTCCTCCAGAAAATTGCAGTCAAATTTTTTTTTTAAATGATACTGAAGTTAGATTAAAGCCTATCTGCACTAGTTTGGCCAGGAGGAATTAGACCTCCCTGCGTGGTCATTGACAGGTGGTTATCTCATCAAATCAGCTCTCAATTAACATAAGAAAAAGGGGACCACTTGGACCAATGGTCACCGATTAGGCCTTGTTTGTTATATAGAGGACGCAAGTAGCTACAAGTAGTGCAGTGGGGCTTTAAAAGGTGATATATTTAGGAGGATTGTTTGATACCTTCATGATTCTGAAGTCTGCTCTCATATCATCTGTGAGTCCTGTACGACTAGATAACTCTGGAATCAATCGGATCTCTTCTTCCACTGGGGTCTGCAAGGATAAAAAGCAAATACTACTTAATCACCAGGGCCAGTATTCAATTCAATACTTAGCATAAGTAAAAAATTTACTAAGTAAGTGGCTAAGCTAAGTAATTTACTTATCTCGTATTGAAATCGCATTAGGCTTATACTTATGGAAGAAAAAATCTAAATAAAATACTAACTGATAAGCACTGTGACATCACACGGTCAATCAAAAGTAATGCGAATTTGATGCGTTGCAATAAACTTGTGCTATTTTTGCACAAGCTGGATGATTTCGTGTACAGGTAGCTGGGCAAGCACCAATGATAAGTTTCTATTCTACAAAATTTTAACAGTAAGATAAGTTTAATTTCCATATTAATTTGTTTTGTTTACATGCATGATAAAAATAAATACAGGTAATGGATATGATATTAGAATATAATGTAAACAAGTGTAGAACACGAGGAAAATACAAAAATTAACACCAAAAAGGGATATGACGATAATACAACAGATACAAAACTGAGTTGAAAAGGCAATATTATTACAGAGAAAAAAATGTTATCATTTTTCGATAGTGCTTTAGCTAATATAAGATTACCCCAATTTAATGAATGTAAAAAATCAATGATAGGGAGCAGAAGAGTGGGAAAAATATACATGTGTCACATATATGATTCTCACAACCTTAATTTTCACTTATATATTTATTTGATATTTCAAACAGGTATTCAAACAGTTTGAGGAAAGATTAATCAATAAATATAACAACAAAATAAGAATAAAGATGGACGTAGAACATACCCCTGGATTGTTGAGCTGTTTCTTCTTGATTCTACTGATGAGTAGTGGCTGGCCTGGGTCACTGATCTCAAGGCTGTAGCTCTTCCTAAAAACAGGAGTGGGGACAAATGGGTAAGATCAAAAGATAATTCAAAGCTCTGTAAATAGTCCTACAAGTTAATAAAACTTGATGAGTAATGGTTGTCCTGGATCAGTGATCTCAGGACTGTGGCTCTTACTAAACACAAGAGTGTGGACAAGATCAGACGATAATTCAAAACTCTGTGAATGGTTCTATCTATCTATCTAAGTATCTTCTCCCGGTTCGGAGGTTGATTGCAACATTTCTCCATTTCACTCTATCTTCTGCCATTCTGGTGCACTCTTGCAGTTTTAGTAAATTCTTCCAACCATTTTTTGAGTTTTCCCAATGGTTTGTCCACAAAAATAAGACATAAGACAGACAAATCTTTCAACACTGTAATGTCTGGAATGTTCTATAGAGCCAATTCATTGCTTTGTGACAATTAAAATTCACCAAAAATGTAATTAAATTGTAATAATATAGTTGGGAGAATTAAAGAATCCATCAGATCAGTTTTTCCCCAATTTTTATCATTAATAATGGTCTGTTTTCAATCAAACTTTCAGATCATCTTTAATTATACATTTATTATTTAAGTCACTACCTTAGCACCATTCTCTCATCCGAACATTATTACAAAGTCCCTTAAATATTCATAAGGACCGCTATTCATAATCGAAGAAGAAATATGGTAACTTACTTGTAGTAATCTATGAAGGAGATCTCTTCGTCTCGTGATTTGAAGGTGGTTTGAGGGTTGGAGTCCCAGTCAATATCGTCTACCCTGTACGTCTTGTTGTTATAGCGGGTCAGAACCACCGTCCCAACGATCTGTCTCACGCACTCCTCTCGGAACCTGATGTTGTTTGGAATGCGCTGGTAGATAGCTTGCCTGGGAACAAATAAAAAGCGATAGTTTGTTGTTGTTATTCATTTATGAATATTTATTCGTTTCGATGCCACTAGACTTATTTTCAGGATTGAAATCCAAAAATTTGCAATTGATACAAAAGAACTAAGGTGTGCTCAACATATATCACAATAATAGTCAATTTAAATGCATCGTTTAACAATGTTATATCTGAGACGCATGGCCCTACGTGTTATCGCTGTCTGTGATATGGTGTAATATTGAAGTCCTAAAAAAATTGCGCTTCAAAATGATCATGAAGTGCCTTATAAAGTTAAAATCTTTGAGTGACCGGTTTTACCATACTCATTTCCCCCAATAGACTGTAGTGTTATAAAATCTGTTAAAGACTAAAAAATGAAATTTTAATTTCCGATCATAAATATCTTGATAATCAGACAGGCGATCGGCTTTTAAAGTCATGGGGTTCCTGACTGACCTCAAGGTTTATAATTATCATTGCAGCACGAGCTAAATCCAGGATTTTGTTTCAGAATCTGAGAATCCCTTTAACAAATAACAATTGCCTGCAATTCATGATAGTAATAGTCAATATAATATCATGTTTCTAAGTGCTTTATATTGCAATTATAATGCAGTTAGACAATCAGAACGATTACTATACAGACCACAACCAGAGATTGCATAAGACATGCAGTGGGTTTGAAAATCTTATTTCATTTCAAAATGACTATTTTGCCTGTGACTAAAAACGCTGCCCTGCAAAGTGTTTTTTATTCACAAATTTAACAAGTATGCTTATGAATACTATTATTTGTCCAAATCATGATATAATTTTGGAAGCTCTTTTTGAGAGATACTGACACTTTTACTCTCCTTAGTTTCAATATTAGACAGACATCATGGTTCAGGATAACATTGATTACTACAGACCTGTCTTCATCAGCTCGAGTTTGCCAAATAACCTGCTATTTTCAGACTCTGGATATTATCCCGAAGCTCAAAATTGCGTCTTCACCAGACCGATGCGCTCATCACAAATTAGCTTGGACGGGCGCAAATCAGCCAGCTATTTCCCAAAAAGCGGGATATTTGGAAACAAGACCAATATTTCTCTGGATATTTTCTCAACCAAATATCCTGCTAATTGCAACTGCGGGCTGATGAAGACGCAAATTAACTGGTTAATTGCGATCGGGATAGTTAAAATAGCGGGTTACTTGGCAAACTCGAGCTGATGAAGACGGGCCTTGTTTTGCTCTGGATGACAGGCACACAAAACGGTATAGATTAGTGCTGTAACATCACGGATATCTCCAATTCCGTTTAACCGCCAGTCAAAACCGGACGGTTTTCAGTTAAACGATTTAATACTTACATGCTTTCTAGTACTGACTCGTTACATAGGACCTTGTGCGATACATCGGCGTGTAACATGAGACCTCCCTCGTACTGGCTGATAGCTGTGATATACCCAGGCCAGATCTCAAGTCTAGTCAATAAACAAACAATTTTCATTCATTTTATTTCATTTATTTCCACTTCTCATTAAAAACATATAATAATTTACATACAATATCTGATTAACACAACAAAACAATAGAACATCACTTAAGTAAACCGCAACGTTAAAAAAAATATGGACTCCAAGTTTTAGATACAAGATATCACGTAATCATACTCAGTCCGTGGAGCATTAAATGGATGCTCTGATCACATGACATCTCGTTCTTACTGGCTGATAGCTGTGATATATATAGGCCACATCTCGAGCCTATTCAATAAATAAACAATAGAATAACAAGTCTTCACCTGATTAGCTTCATCTTCATGACAAAGAAATTCTTCACTTCATTTTTATGCAAGAAAAATTGTAATTACATATGAAACAAGTCATAAATTGCTCTTGACTAGAAATTTGACACTGACTACATGTACAATGGTTAGTAGAAAACAATATATTCATCATATCATATACCAGGGCTCAACGCTATTAAAGATAAAGTTGAGTTCTGGTCATGCGATTGCATTGTGAAAAAAAGGGTGTGGAATGGATCAGAAAAAGTTGATCATGTAGCATGTAGGTATTGGTGTGTACTGCAAGCTTCTGGAGTCATCAAAATCATAATAAAGTTGGCCCAGTCTTGGTAAAGTAACAAGCACTGTACACAGAAAGATGTATATGGGACTACACAAATGGTGTTGGGCCTACTTACCTTGATTTCCTTATCTTTCTATGCTCATTACTCATTAAGTTTTGTTTGATTCTGTGAGAATTCATTTTCTTTTTTTTACCAGAACTCAAGTTTACCTTTAAATAAGGGCCAGGGACACATGGCGCTCAAAATCTAGGTCCCGACCCCCAAATTTCAGAAATTTTACATAGGGCCCAAAGCATAAAATGGCCCTAAAATTCAGTCTAAACCCTAATGAAAAAAAAAGTTAGTGTGGAGTCATGCATGTGCATATTCAGGTCAGATGACCATCGTGTGAAAATGTATCTCAGGTTAATGAAAACTGGTTGATAAGGTGAAATGAAAATGTTGATTTGAAACTGTGCGATACTTCTATAAAGCCTACTCACTTGTGCTGGGGTACAATGGAGGGCGTGGTGGGATTATAGAAATGACGTCCGACTTGCTTCATCTGAAGTATTTTCATCACCCTGAGAAAAAAGAAGAAAAAAGAAGAAAAAAAGATAAAGATACAGTAAAACCTGCTTTAGTGACCACCTGTATAGAAAGACCACCTGTCTACAAAGACCCCATTTTTTGTTTCCCTTGAAAATGGTTTATCATTGAAACATGTACTAAAGAAACCTGTACATAAAGGCCATCTGCCTATAGAGACCACTTTTCTTGTCTCCCTTTGGTGGTCTTTATAGACAGGTTTCACTGTATAACAATATCTATCAAATTAACCACACAAAATGGAAAGTGTAAATCACCAAGAACAATATTTTATATTTGATCAACACAATAAGAACACAATTGTTTGAAAATGATCTTGAGTTTCATGTAACAGAAAGCAGTAAAATTTAAAATAACTTTTCTTTCATCATGTGAGGAAACCATGTAGAATAGTCATCAAGGTAAACATTTCTTTTCTTTCTACAAAGGAACAGATTTAAGAAGCTAAATAGGTATTTTCATCTATTTGTTAATCACCATACGCTATCTCAAACCTATTCTAGAGGTCCCTAATGGCAAAATGTTCTGCACACAAAAACACATATCCTTAATCTTTATATTGAGGAGAAACAATGACATTTTGTACACGTGTACAAAAACCACCTGATGAATAATAAATTTATTGAAAGAGAGAAAGAGACACAGAGAGTGAGTGAGAAAAGGTGAAAGAGAGGGAGAAAGAGAGAGAGAGAGAGAGAGAGAAAGAAAGAGAAAGAGAGAGAAAGAGAAAGAGAGAGAGAGAGAGAGAGAGAAACACAGAGAGAGAGAAACACAGGGAAATAAAGCGAGAGGTAAACAGACAGCGAGAGAGAGAGAGGCAGACAATGATAGAGAGAGGCAGACAGACTGCGATAGAGAGAGACAGAGACAGAGGCACAGAGAAAGACAGAGAGATAGAGAGAGACAGAGAGAGAGGAGAGAGAGGATAAAATGCAACATACTTTCTGAAGATGATGTTGTAGATTTGTGTGCATTCCTGTGGGTTGATTTCCTTGACCAGAATAATCTTGATGGTGATAGTTTCCTGGTCATAAAGCCGAACACTTTCAAACAATGTCACCTTGTTTTCATTCAAAGAAACAATAACAGTTAAAACATAACATTATTTATCTCCAATACAAGATAATCTAGTAATAATCTATACAATACTGAATATATAATACATATGATTACACAGTTCATACACAATATCATAATTTTTTAGACTAAAATGAGGAAGAATGTATCACTGAATGGAAAACATCACTGCTACCGATTCTGACTGGAAAAGGGGAATGGTGAAGCACAAATACAAATAAAGATCATGGTGATGCTAATAACGAAACAAAATTTTAATTATTTTTGTAGCATTTAAAATATATTTCAAAGTAAATCCTTGCATGCAAAATATTGACATCCTTACTAGAGTAACGTATTTTATATGAGAGTACAGTGTGTGTTTTGTGTCACTTTGTGAGTTGGGGGGGGGGGGGAGGTAAAAGACAGAAAGGGTGAAAGGAAGAGAGGACAGAGAGAGAGAGAGAGAGAGAAAGAGAGATTGAATGTGTTTATATGTGTGTCTGAGACAGAAAGAGAAAAAAAAAGAAAGGGAGAGACAGGGAGAGCCAGTAAGAGATGGAGCGAGAGAGAGGGGGGACAAAAAAGGAGAAAGAGAGAGAGAGAGAGAGAGAGAGAAGAAAGCTACACAAATTGAGAGACAGACAGAAACAGAAAGAGGAAAAGAAAATGAAATAAGATAGCTATGCAGCGAGAGAAACTGAGTGGGGGAAAAGAGATAAAAGTGAGGGAAAAAAAGAAAAGGGAAAGAGAAGGTAGAGGACTTGATTTTGATTTATTGGTTTTTGCATCTTTTTTCTTTTTTTCATCATACATTTTCATGAACATAATATGGTTTGATACAATATTTTAAGTGTGTATAATTTTATACAGATAATAAACGAAATTAAACAAATATATTGAATGCATAATTAACATACTTTAGATGCAGGAGGGCTACAGAAATAAGCAAAGGAGAGTTGGAAGGGGGAAATAAGGAGATATTCAACTTGATAGAAATGATTGAGATACAGACCTTTTGAGGGAGTTTGTGAGGTAAGAAGAGGACTGCTCCATCAAATGCTCTGACTTTACCGATCACATCCGAGTGATCGAAGACCATCCGCAATCTTATCTTCTTGCTCTCGATCGGCGGATCAAAGGATACAGCGTATTGCCACACCGCTTTGTTCACGCACTTGATACGGATGTAGTTACTCGCAGCCTTAACCCTTCAAGATAATGCAAAAGAAATATTTTAATTGAGCACTGTACTAAAACCGGGGGTGATAGTGAGCACTAAACCACCTCAACCACGCCCCCTTTGAGTAAAAGAACAAAAAAAAAGGATGGGGGGGGGGGAATGGCATCTAACAACATCCCCCCCCCCTTTTGAGTAAGAAAATTGGGAAAAAAGGAGTAAAATCTGGAAGAAAAAAAAAAAATCAGGAAAAAATCGGGAAACCGATTTAAATTGGGTAATTATCAGGCACGTTTAACTGAGCACTGTATTAAAACAGAGCGACCACATATATAGGTCATGTGAGAGCAAATGAACTTTAGTGATATAATTATATATTATTGGCTGCCCTTTAGTGGGATAACTGATATACCACTAAAGAAAGCCAATATTATTATTATCATACATCAAAAAATTGAACTACAGTGAAATTTAAAGGATTGTCAGTTTTGAAATTCAGCAACCGGTTAATATTTATTATCAACCAAAAATTTTAATAGAATATCAGTCACAAAATGTGTTTGAAAATGCTTAAAAATATGACTGACATCGCACCAGAGTGCATGAAAGAACGTTAGAGCCTTTACGCAAATAAACAGGCAATGGAGGCTGGCCACAAGTGAGTTTGTGCTTTGCATGTACATCAGTTCATACTCTTTCCACATTTAAATTTTACGTTTGAATACAGTCAAACCTGATTTAGTGACCACTAGTACTAATGACCACCTGTCTACAAACACCACATTTCTTGTTTCCCTTGAAAATGGTTTCTCATTGAAACATGTTACTAAAGGAACCGGTACATAAAAACCACCTGCCGATAAAGACTGCTTTTCTTGTCTCACTTGGGCTGTCTTTATAAACAGGTTTCACTGTATTTGTTTGTCGACCTCCCTGCTTCCATGGACTTAATACGGATGGACATTCAACGTGATTCTTTCTTTGATCCAATCATAGTCGCCGCCTTCTGATTATGTGCATCTTAATGAGAACATTCAGCTGTTTTAACAATAACGACTGCGTAAGCATTTTCGGTCATTGACAAAGGAGCAGTTTCCCTCTCTTGGGTTTCCTTTGGATGGTGTGCTCTGTAAGAGTGTGTCTTATATAAAAGCATCCTCAATGGGGAACAGCAAAGTTGAAAAGCAGACGATTTTGGTGATATGAAATGTATTATTACCGATTCGCAAACTTTCGCACACACCTATGACCTTATAAAACAATTAGAAGGCCTGATCTGTATCAACCCTGAGCGTTGTAACTCTGGAATATTATGAGGAAATAGGGGGAAACAGGATTTTAAATCACAACCAAAAAATCAAAAAATAACCTCTATCTGGTAATATCAACATGTTTTTCAAAAAAAAATATGTGTACAGTACACGGAACAACAATTTCCGATCATAAGCCAGAACTGCACATCTATTTTCCATGATTTAGGCGAGTAATTATCTTCTGCGCATGAAGATTAACATGTGTAAAATCCCTATCTTGATTCTGTCCCGGCTTTTTGCCGGCGACCATGATGAGACCAAAGGGAAGAAACATGTACGGAATGTTATTGAGACGACATTGATGGAGACAATCACAATGAATTTGTGAAGAAAACGATGAATGTCCATCCGTAATAGGTCCATGCTGCTACCAAACTGAAATTTAAACACGCTTGCTTACTCTCTCCCAGCTGTGCCATGGATCTCCTTCCCCTGAAGCGAAAGATGGCCCATCTTCTCATCCAGGTTTGCAAACCTATCCCGGGTATCCCCACCGGGTCCCATGGACGGAGTCGGTGTCGGTGCGGGGGAGGGGTATGCCGAAGACGCAGCTGAGGATGACGTCATCATGCTCGGTGAAGGGGATTTCCCTGTCGGCGAGGGGGATTTCCCTGGTGGTGAGGGGGACTGACGAGCTGGTGAAGGGGTCTGACGAGCGGGTGATTTCTGCGCCGTCGGCTGCTGCTGTGAAGTAAAGCCCCGTCCGATAGGCATGCCTGAGAACCCACGCCCAAACGATGTGGGTGCTGCCTGCTGTTGCGCACTTTGTTGGCCCCCTAAAGAACAAAATGAAATAACATAATTTTTATTAAAGCACTGATCGATTATAAACGAAGTACACTCAACATAAGTCAAATCTGTTCGGAATGCAAAATATAGTTTGATTTATGCAAAATTCAACTTAGGAAGAGTAAGTAAGTTAAAATCACATGTTTGGCATAGCTGGAATAAACAATTTCTCAATCTAATTGTGTATTTGCTGTAGAATTAAATGGATTGGATTTCATATGACAACAATATGTCTTCATTTTCATGGCCCTAAAATAGGCATCCATAATATATCAAAGAAATTATGATATCTTAAGACTCATGAGTGCACTCAAAATCAAGATTAGCCAGCCGTCATATGATCCAAGGCATGCAGTTTTTTCCTCTCTCTGCTGCCATCTGCAGTCTACTGCAGAACAATGTCAAAGATCAAATATGATGGCTGGCTGAACTCAATATCGAGACTTGTGATTCCTCAAATGTTGGAACTTTGTGAGGTATTATGTATTGTTTACCAACAAAAAGAATTGATGTGTGGTTACTATATACTACTACAGAATTTTGTTATTTTAATGATATTTCTAGTTGTTTTTGACTGTATTTACATCCAATCTCATCGATTATCTTGCACCTATGGCATATATTACAGTCAAGGATTTGATTTTCAACTTTACCTAGGATTTGCTACATCCATTTTTGAAAGATAAAATGTGTATCTATGTTGGTTTGAAATTTAAAGGATCTGTAATATGTAAAATGCAGGGATGCCAGTTAGAATTGATCAGAGGGCCTGAAAATCACCTAGAATGAGCTATTTTGTACACAAAAAAGCCTAAACTATGGTCTAAAAATAACTCGCCAGGGTCTGAATTCAGGCAATTGCCTAAAATTTGGCATCCCTGAATATGTAAATTCAGGCAAAGTCATGCTATGACTCATCCTTGCAGGGTATTCCCTACAGGAAATGTTGAAATGCTTCTAAAACCACTACATCAAGCTGAGAAGAGATTGCGCAATGGATATGAGGACAGCCAGCATTTTCAGTGATAATTACAAAGAGACACAGTGGCTTTTAGAGTACCAGCAAAAAAAAGTTTAAAGTCTAAAAACACACCCTAGTTTGCATGAGATTTGAGAAATGTTTTCAAAATTTAGTTCTCTGTAGATGAATGAGAAAATTGAAATAAATGTTTATTTGACAGCATGTGCATACAAAATAATCTTTAAAGGTCATGTACAGTTTTGGAAAGCCCACCTTTTCGACAGATTTCACAAGACTATATTTAACTGGTTTCTTTCTTACTTTTGTTTTTGCTACCAGAACTGCAAAAGGGCTTCAAAGACCGTCAATACTACTGGGCCAGAAGGGATTAGACCACACAGCAAGGTCACTGACAGGTGAAAAAAGTGTTAATTTTTAAATATCTGAACGAGCCTTAAAGCTTATCAGTACTAGCTTACAGGAGGGATTAGACCGCCCTGCAAGGTCAGTGGACAGGTGGCTATCTCATTAACTCAGCTCTCAACTAACATAAGAAAAAGAGGATCATGGGGGACCAACAGGCACCAATTGGGGAAGTATTCTATATAGAGGGAGCAAGTAGCTACAAGTAGGACAGTGGGGCTTTAAGATATGTCAGAGAAGGCCCTCATTAACTGGAAGTATCTTTTTGATACAAGGAGAACAACACAAGACACTTTTCAACAGGTTTCTTTCCGATTTCCTTTTAGGTACCAGAACTGTAAATGAGCTTTAGAAATATGAGAGAAAAGGCCCTCGTTACCTGGCGGTTTTGGCTCCTCCTTCTTGATCTGTTGTTGCATGGCAGCCATCTGTAGGCCCCTCCCAAACGCTGGTTTAGGGGCACCGGGTTTAGGGGCACCAGGTACCGGTGCAGTATCAGGTCTGCTAGCTGGTTTACCTTCAACCTACATACAGTCATAAACAAAGTTATTATAACTTCAATTCGTCACGGGAATGACATTTCTAGGTAATCTTCAAAAGTCTACAAATTAATGTTTTGATACATAGACTTATTATAGTTGCCAACCTTCCATAGCAAACATATGAAATTTTTTAAAGTCTCAAGGCAAAATTAGGAATGGTTGTATTTTGTATAGTTTTCACATGAAATGTTTCAGAAAAAGAGAAGAATCTGGGGTTCAAGACAATAGCTTGAAGACCAAAAACAGGAATGGTTGGCAGCTACTGGTATGCTTATACATGGTACTTTCTCAACAGCCGAGTTTCATATCAAGCATTCATAAAAAGAATCAAATAAGAATCTTAAACAGCATTGTTAAGAAATGACCCCCCATAATCACATTCTATATCATTCAGTAACAGACCTTTATAAAATTTGACAGTTCATAAATTTGATGAATGGTTAATGAAAACACAAAAGTTTTGAAAGTGGCTGATTCTAGTTAATTTAAATCATATTGTTGTGTTTGGGATCGGTGTATTTGTAGTTATTGCAATATCGAGAGGTACATAAATAAAGAGGTGCTCAGACTTGTATTTTAAAGGGACTGGATCGGCAGTTTCCATGTGCAGAATGCCATAATTCGCCAACACCAGACTTGGTGGAAATACCATTAATGGGAGTGCAAATCTGCACACAGCAAACCTGTTGGCCAGTCAAGAATTACCCCCTAATTGCTCGGAGAGCTTCGGGTAGTGGAAAAGCAAAGCATTACATAAGGTCTAATGGTCATAAAACTGAAGGCTAACCCTGGTGATTGACAACACCTGTTATTGGATAAACACCCGAACGGTGTTGAATTCCCCATAAGAGCTGACTTCTATGTGACTTTAAGCGTAATATACAAGAGTATAATTCATTAACTCTAAAAAACCATGGGTCACATAGTTTCAGTATCAATATATATTCAGAAGTTGTAAAGTAGCCAAGATCTTAGGTGTGAGCTTGGTGATGGTCTGAACTCCTCTCTTCTTTCAAGAGGGAGGCACACTCATTATATTCCCAAGTTCATTCTCATGGTCATCTAGCTAACACATGTAAGCTGTTCTGGGAAAGGGTCTCATCAAACAAAGGGGGCTTTAATTATTGAGAGGGAGACATGCAGGAAGTCTTTTGTTTGGAGGTTTGGGGGTTCGTATGAGATGTATACAATTTGGGGTTTATTTGGCTGGGATTAAGTCATTAAACAAGTGTTCTGGAAGGGGGAGTCTAGTATCACAGGGTGGGTCTTATCTGTATCGGGGCATACTGAGTGATATCATATACCATAACTGAGAAGGTGTAGACTAACTATTACTACCATTACATTTTAAAAGACATAAATTGTTGATTTTGAATCATTCATATTTTCAATAATCAAGGAGATTTTATGTTCTTGATGTGGAATTACTAAAAAAAAAGTCAAAAATACTTGAAATTTTGCCTTTGAATATATTTTTCATAAGGCTGCAAATGGCTCTCCATAATTTTTAAGTCAAATTTAGAGTTAAGTTTGACTTAGGATCTTTGTGAAACACACCCCGGTTATTGTTTTGTTTGACTATACCTTGTCTCCATTGGTACTATCTCCATTTTGACCGGGTCTCCTTTGCGGCTCCTCCAAGAGCTTCAAGAGAGCTGCTCCTCTCCCTCCGCGTCCGAAGCCTGCCATCCTCTCTTCTAGGAAGACTGCTTCAGGTTGGTTCTATTCTCAACTGATCTGTAAGGGATTCAAAGCAAATGGCCAAAGTCAAATATCATTGAGTTATTTAACAATGCTTAACAAATTAAGCACCCCCTCAGACATTGAGACAGTCAGTAGCATTGCCCTTGCATTGGGTCTGACTGCATCACACGGAGGAAACAATATTTTGAAAATAGGAACAAAGTCTTAAAATAAAGTTAATCACATTTAGAAGCCATTGAGCCAAATTCGGAGTAAATACGGCAGAAAATAAAAAATGTCTGCACCCCACCATCAGTACGGTATGCAATTGTATTGTGCAGCAGTTTGCTGTGAATCGCATGAGAAAGTGCAATTACAAAGTCTTCGTTTTGGGGAAAAACACTCGGAAAAAAAATAAGAAAATTGAAACAAAACAGGTGAGAAACATAGATCTACCGCCTTTTAAATCATGACCACTAATTGAACAATTGATGAAATTTAATTGGTTTTGGGTATGTTTTAGTAGGGTATCTCCATCGCCATGATGGCAAGCCGGACGGGTCAAACTCAAACTCAATTTTGGATAGGAAATTCTGAATCAGCGCCAGGCTTTATTCCCATTTTCCAACAGCAAAGGATGTTTGTTAGTTTACTTGACTAGACCTAGTCTGTATTGTTTGTGTCGCTGTGCCACTGTCTTGTCAGACACTGCTCTGAGTCTGAGCCGAGGTGAGTGACTGACATCATGATGTCAGTTGTCACTGTCACATGCGATATGCGCAATTCAATATGCACATATTTAATGTGCACAGTGCATGCAGTGGATCAGTGCAGCGACACTCAGACTCGGACGGTGCAGTGCAGTCGGCCGTGGCCGTCGGGTACAACTCCGATCCAGCAAATGTCTACAAATACATCAAGAACTGATTGTTAAGGTTAAAAATAGATTAGGGTCTAGCTATTGTTGAATTCTTTATCGTTCTCATACAGCACCTGTCAATTCTGATTTCTGTTGATTGACGTCTTGATTACGAAGGCTCGCCTTGAACTTCAAGTTGAAGCATTACATGTGCACAAGTCCATACTTGAAATTTATTTGTAAATAACAATTTTTTCGCTGATCCCGGCGGCCCGCGATCTGCTCGGCGCGCTGCCTCATCGAGAAACGTATATACGCGTACGGAAAACGCACGCTAGCGCACACCACATTCGCTGCTTGATTCGAGGCATCAGCAAACTGAAGCCGAAAAAAAAGGTTAAAGGTCACTATCCTTATCCGGTCTATAGATCTTGGCCAATCACAGATGCTCCCGCCACATGAACCTTTACCGCGCGAACCATTGTCAAATAGTCGTCATTTCGCTGGAGATTGTCGTGCTGTGCAGTTGTGTCGTCGTCCTTGTTCTGATTCTGCTGGTGACTGCTTCAAAACCACTTGATTTTCCTCGTATTATTAGCTCCAACTACACAGTATCATCATGTTTGAAGCAAGGCTCCTCCAAGGATCAATCCTGAAGAAAGCTCTGGAAGGCATCAGGGAGTTGATCACATCAGGAAATTGGGAATGCTCATCGGCAGGCAAGAAGAATCCTTTTTTAAACTTTGTTTTACTTTATAAGTTTAAGTTAAACATGTTTGATAATGATAACTGATTATGAATAGATTCGAAAGGAAAACAATTACCTGTAGTCTACCTTATTTGTTATTACTGGATCAAATCTATTTTTTGTTATGTAATTTACTGGGAAAATGCAGTCAGTTCTGATGAGTTGATGATTGAGCTGAGCTGAGCTTCCAAAATTCCAGAATTCTCTCAAGACTCAACATCATTTTGTGTAATAAAAAATAGATAAGACACCCTCAGTGGCAGCCCCCCCCCCCTCCCCCCTCTGCTTTTTTTGGCGGGATTAAAAATTTGAATAACTTAAGAATAAAAAAATTAAGATGGGAAAGGGAGAGAAAAGAATGCGGCAAGATGAGAGAGGGAAAAGGAGAGAAAGAGAAGGAAAAACAAAAATGTTGACTGAATCATGGGTCAGCAAAATTGGATGGTAAGGCCGCGTAATCGGTAGGCTACAGTGATCAGTAGGCCTATGGGGCGCTGGTCTGAAAATAAGGATCGTCTTCGACTCTTCGTAAACACAGACCAATGCGTCCTCAAAAATAAGGATTGTCCGCATATTCGCAGACGTTTCATATTTTTGATTGGCGCGTTGGCGATGCGAAAAACAGATTCCGTGATAATTTTCTTGACGCATACATTGACTTTGTAGACCTAGATTGTACATTGTACAGAGACTTTTACATTATGAGCGATAAATCCTCAGGAAGACGGACAACCTGTAAAAGTAGAGGGTGAACTAGGGATGTTTTCTCTTGAGGAATTTTTTCACATTGCCAGAGGGCGGTTCAGTAACCCAGAACCCGAGGAGCGCAGATGAAGAAAAAAACTACCACGAAAATGCACTGCAGACGATCCTTATTTTTGAGGACGCATTTTGGCCGCGTTAAATTGCAGCAGCCTTTTATTAGCCGCTTAAGAAAGGGGGAAAAGAGGAAAATTACAACTTGGAGCAACAGAACTGCAGAAAAAAAGGATCAAGAACAAAGAAGAAGAAAAAAGACCCTGAAACTTAAATTTACACATAGTCTACACTTTAAGAAATATTAAGATATAGATTCTAGGTCTACATGCATGATGTAAATTACCTTGCTAATGAGTTGGCTTGACAATGTGACAATTGTCTACAAAGATTTCAGATGAAAGTAGAACAGTATGAAGAAATTGTCTAGGTCATAAAAGTGTTAAAAACTACCAGAAAATATCTTGTTACCGAATAACTTGAAAAGTATTTTATGCAATTCAAACCAATCTTGGAGGAAGTATGAACTAATTATGTTTTGGGCAGTAAGAGTTGTAGGGAAAACGTCGATCTTGCCATGATAACTTACAATTTTATGAAGTAATTCAAACCAGACTTAAATGAATTATGAATGAGCATACGAGGATGAGCTGATTAGATTTTGGGCAGAAAGGGGAGTGAGTCATAAGCGTTTAAAATGCTGTCAAATATCTCATTACTGCAAAAACTTGAAAAAGTTGAAAAGCAATTCCCACCAAACTTGGATGAGCATGCACGAGTGGCAAGATTTCGAGTAGAAGAGGTCAAAGGTCGCAGGATCGTAGAATATTAAAAACTACTGGAAAATTTATTGTTACTACAATAACTTGAAAATCATTAAAGCAAATCATAGAAGTGATTAGATATTTGGTGGCAGAGGTCACAGGCTCTTAAAATGTTAAGTACACTGTACTACCAGACATGACATGTGAGAAACATGTCTACAAAGACCACCCAAGGGAGACAAGAAAAGTGGGCTTTATAGACAGGTTCCCATACCTGCCAACCACTCCGATTTAGGCGGAGTTACTCCGCTTTTTTCATACCCACTCCGAATTCCGATTGCATGCCTCAAAACTCCGATTTTTTGTAATTTAAAAATATTTTTAAAACAAACGACTGTTGCATAAGACTAAAGCATAACATAGCACTGATAACCAGATCACGCCTTACGGGGAAACGATAAACATAAGTACTTTATATAGCGAATGCCGCCTTATCACATAGCCTCCGCACACAGCGCTGCATGTCGCACGCATTCACTCATAGGTTCACTGAATTTGACTACACTGGATAGACACTTTCGCGCACATGGTCCGTCCGCCGCCATCTTGTTTAATTCCAAAACAACACGGCCGCTACGTATGCTACGTGCGTTCGTGCCTTTTGAGGGGAGCATGGGGGTAGATGATCGTGCGCATGGCGCCCGCAATATAGTAGCGAAGACTTCGGTGATTCAGCGGGCGCATTGCAAGTGCAGTGCGGTATACGGTGTGTTGTTGTTCATGAACGCCGGGCCTAGCGGCCTGGGCTGTATGGTGTGTCTGTGGTACTGGTGAGTGTACGTGTGCGTGTGTAGAATACGAGCTCTGCCATTTGACTGTGGATTCGAATTTGCCATTCGACGCTTGAACGAGGTGTTTTCTTCCTGAATATTATCATGGATTCACTCAAAAGAGCGAGTACCCGAGAAGGAGATCCTTTGACTGGATACAGATTTTTAAAAACGTTTTTATGCACATCTTTATTTTGGACTTGAATATGGTAGGTTCGAAATACAGTAAGAGTGATTGGGTGTTTGTGTACGTTTTGCGCGAAAATTATGCTGCGGTGTCATGCGTTACGGAAAGACCCCCATTTGTTACGGACAAATATGGTAAATGTTACTGACAGCCATCCTAAAGGGTTGGCATCTCTGCCCCCCCCCCCCCCCCCACATCTACGGTCTACTACCCCAATCCTTCGGTGGTTCGCGACCTCGTAGTCCATCCAAAAAAATTTAGTGTAAGTTTCAATAAGCAACCGTTTTCAAGACAAACAAAAAAAATGTGGTCTTTGACTCTTTGTAGACAGGTGGTCACTAAAGCAGGTTTGACTGTATAAGTGATTTCGACATGCAACAATACTTACATTTTATAAATTTGCAATCAATGAGTGATCTGCGAAATTCATGAAAAAAAAACCTGTGAAAATAACTGCACATACAGAAATAGGCAGACCTAGTCATGTTCGTTTTTCTTTTAATCCAACAGGTATCAGCATGCAGGGCATGGATCCAAGCCACGTTGCACTGACTGTCCTCATGCTCCAGAATGACCTGTTTGATCAATTCAGATGTGATCGCAACGTGACACTGGGACTCAACCATGCAACGTAAGTTTCCTGGAAGTACATTTTTCAGATTTTAACTGCAATAACTTGTGAAGCGTGAAAGCGATTCAAACCAAACTTGGCACAAGTATGTACGAGCATGCAAGGATGAACTGCTTAGATGTTGGGTGAAGGAATTAAGTCAAAAGTGAAAGGTCACAGGGTCTAAAATCCCAGAAAATATCTTATTCCTGCAATAACTTACAAATATTTAACCAATGTTGACCGGGTTTTCGCAGTCCTGAGCAAATTCCAGATCATCTCCTGAAAACCTATCTTCCCAACCTTCTTTCTTTCCTTGTGCTATTCTGAAAATGGCCAATGCTCAGTCATCTGTGATCGCATTTTGACGAACAGCCTTTCAAATTCAAGAAAAAGTTATCAACAACCATACTATTTTGCAATTTCGCCTGTTTTTTAATATATTGGGCTTGTATAACTGGTTTGATTATTGAATCACCTTGCAGATGCAGTTATTATTACACTTTATAAATTATTTTAATTTCAGATTCTCCAAGATTCTGAAATGTGCTGCAAATGACGATATTATCACATTGAAGGCTGAAGACCAACCGGACGAATGCAACCTTTTATTCCAGTCTGCCAACGATGACAAGACATCAGATTTTATCATCAAACTGACAGACATTGATCAAGAGACACTTGGCATTCCAGTAAGTTCTCTTCCTCAGTGTAATAAATACTTTCATGTTCACTGGAGCTTTTCTGTGTTTTAAAGTGCGATTTTTCTCACAGTTATGTTATTTTTTTTTTTTTTTACCACAGTAACATCTGTTATCAAGTTGGTTTGAAATTAAGCAGAAAATTGAACAAAAATAGTCAGTAAAAGTTAAAGAAATGTGATAGGAAACAAAATCATCTTTTTTTATTATCCAGCTCATATAAGTAATAAGGGCCATTTTCATTTGTAAACATTGCATTGAAAATACAATTATTTTACATTACCCTGAAACCCCTAACCAAACAGGGTATTTTAGAGATGGTAGCATCCCTTATGTCTTGTTCTACTTAAGAATTCATCTAATTATTCACCTTTATAATTTTTCAATTTTTTTTTACCAGGACACAGAATATGCAGCCACAGTCAAGGTCCCATCCGTAGAATTCCAGAGGATTTGTCGAGATCTGAGCCAGTTTGGCGACACCATCATCATCTCAGTCAAGAAGGGATGCGTTGAGTTCTCAGGAACTGGTGAAATTGGATCTGCTAAGATCGCACTCAAAGAGAGCGGAAACGTTGACGATGACGAGAAGGTAATTTATCAAATTTCAATTTCAAGTTATTTGTGTTTCCAAGAAAAAAATTATAAAAATTTACAACAAATGTATAAATACATATTTGAAATAGAGGGATCCACTAAGAAGCAATGCATGTACAAGTGTGGACACCTCAAATGATACTAAAGATTAATGAGTAATTTAGAC